TTTACAAAGTCCTCATTAAACCACTTTGGACATATGGGATAGAACTATGGGGAACAGCAAAGAAATCAAATATAAAAATCATCCAGTCATTCCAGTCAAAAGTCCTTCGGAAAATTGTAGACGCACCCTTTCATGTTTCAAATCTCACGTTACATACTGACCTTAACACTCCTTTCATCACGGCAACTGCCACTGACCGCTTTAAAAATTTTCATGACAGACTGACTCTAAATTCCAATCCACTTACTCAAGCTCATCTACTGCCACAAATCCATATAACTCGCCCAGAAGATTGCTGAGGCGCTGGCCAAGAGACTTATTGCATTGAGCTACTTGCTGCATTATCTTTTTTTTTGTGTGTGTGTGTTATTATATTATTATGTATGTGTTATATTACTACTGTTTGTTTTTTTTGTCTTTTTGTTTTGTTATTACTATTCTTTTTTTTTATACCATCGTTTTTCTCCTTGATATCATAAAATTACTGAATACCGAGGTAGATGGCAAATTTATTGTGAGCCAGGAATATGTGTAACTAATAAAATAAATTTAAAAAAAAAATTAATTTCGCATTTGATAACAATATGCTGTGCGAATTTTTCGAACGGGCCTACTAGTATTAAAGTAAATATATTAACCCGAACTAGAAAAAAAAAATCTGAACCTTGTCATAAATTATTAATTTCTCTTCCCTTAATAAGTGATAAAAGTGGAGTTTTCCTCATCTGGTTTTGATAGAGAGGGGGCGGGAGAAATATAAAAACCTGTTTTTGTAGTTGTTTTTTTTTAATGTTATCTGATAAAAAATTAGAAAATCGATACAACGAATTTTTTTGATAAAATCAGTGGTTATGGCATGGTGGTACACAGGGACGGACCACTGCCTCCCCTTAAATTATAAGAAATAAAATAAAATATAGTATAATGCAAAAGTTCTGCTGAAAATAAAAAAAAAAATATATTTTTTAAATTGCTGTTCTACGTATATATTGTGTTTATATAAAATATTCATAAATTTAAATTATATTGTAATATTTAAATTATATTTGTAATATTTAAAATATATTGTAATAACAATCAATTACTTAGTAAGAGATTAAAGTTTAAAATCATTTATTTACCCGAGATTTTCCTTTATTCAGTCTTCCCTCCATCCAAAAATGAAAGATGGGTACGCTCTTGCGAAGACATTAAAGCAATAAAATTTCTCAAATTTTCACTTTCAATAAACATTTATCTTAACACTATGAAATTACGAGGTTCCTGGACATAATACATATTCAAGGTTGAATTAGGTTATTTAACATTTTAAATCGTTCAGAAAACAAATTGTAAAGTTTTCTTGTTTTGATTATTATAAAAGCCATGATAAATTCTTGAGACTTATAATACAATAAACATTTTTTTTCAGCTTTTCTTTGCAAGTTTTATTGAATATTTTAATTCTGCTAAAATTTTATAAATAAACAATTGCTCTATTTTACCAGAATTAAAATATTAATCCGAATTAATTAATTATATGAAGTAATTTATTAATTAAAAAATGATTAAATTACTTTTAAAATATATAGTTATTTACATTTCATATGCCAATTTGTTCAACCATATACCAGTCTCTATCTAAAAAACGCAACAGAAAAAATCTCCTAAATTCTTCTTTTTTCCGTGGTTTTACCATACAAAAATTCAAAAACCTGTCCAACAATGCCTCTTCAGAATTCAAAACTCAGACAAAATGTGCCCCTCTCAAAAATTATGATGGCGTTACTTGCGCCGTGAAACACCTTTTGTACACCCCTGCTTAAATATAGTTACCAAGATATATTTGTAGTTAAGTCTAACTATAATCGCATTTTAATTAATTAGATTTTACGCCTTGTTTTAGAATATTATTGTCTATTACATAACATTTGATTAATGACTGTTTATTTAAAATAGATGTGATGAGAAATCTTGCAGCAAGAAGACATGGAAAAAACAGAAAATTCCACCTTTCAGGCCACCTCGTATGATTTTCAATAAGGTGGTAAAGAAACATAAGAAAAAAACACCCAAGAATCATCGGAGGATGAAGTTTTTAGTCATTCAGTTAATGAAAAAGTGAAAATACTTCATTTAATTTTGTGCGTCCACGGTATAAAATAAAATACATTTCCAAACTGTTGTTTTAATGTGTATAGCAAAATACAATAAAAAATATAGTGCACGCATCACACAACTTTCACTTACCACTCAACTTCAAAATCAATTCTCCTCTGGCAAAATTGGCTATCACAAGAAGTTTTGAAGCGCATGTTTAATGCAGCTAACCCTTAAACATATTTTTGAATTTTGGTCATATTCATCAATACAAAAACTCATTAAGACAATCAAAATAACAAACTTTATTTATTATATCAATTGTAGGCAATAAAAACTTTACTGTATAAGTATATTTGAATCATATAACTCCACTCTCTGAGCTCTGTAGACTAAGAGAGATTTGAAAGTACATATATTTAATTATGAATAAGTAGGAATCATACTTGATAGTAAAAATTATAGCTTTAAAATCTCCTCGATCACTTTTACCATATATTTAAATTCTTATTTTTTACCCTTGAAAATTTTAAAAAGTGTTAAATACATTATATAAAGTGGCACAATTTTAACAAAAAAGTTGCTGTAACATCCCATCCATATACCAACACTAAACAAGTATTAGAGTTTTGTAAGACTTCTTGTTTTTGAGCTACTGTTCACATACATACACACAGAACATTTTAAGAGACTTAGTTGTTTCGACTCCCGGGACCTCAAAACGTGTATTTCCGTTGAAAACTCGAATTTGAAAATTTTCACAATCGCAATCCTTTAATATATATTTCATATATAGGCAAGTGAAAATAAAAACAACTATTCATTAGGTGTTTGATACTTCAGCAAGAGTGATTTATATAAGTGCTATTTCAAAGATATCTTTAAATTTTGCTTTAAGGTAAGTATAGTTGAGGTGTTGCTGGTGATAGTGGTGTTTTCATTATAATATCAAGTATACAAAAACAAAAAAGAAGACAACAGCAGAGAGACTTTTTAAAAAAAATGAACGTACCATGATAACATTTTGATGTGGAAGTTATACTTTTGAACGATGGTAGCTTGTTCTGCAATTTCATCAGATAGATTTTTTTTAATATATTCTTTATTTAGTAGTTCATAAAATCTCAGAAAAAAAGTAATATGAAATATTATGTAGATTGGTATTCATATTTATTGTATTATATTCATATTATTAAAATTGTAAACAAAAACAAATGCAATAATAAAAAAATATATATATTAAGTAGATGGTATATATAATTCCTATATATATTAAATATACGAAAAGAAATGTAATAATAACAAAACAGTTTGTTTAAATACTTTTATTTTACAACATATATATTAAATAGATGAAAACAAATGTAATAATAACAAAACAGTTTGATTTGAAATTGAAATATTCAAAAAGAAATGTAATAATTCCCACAACAATAACAAAACACTTTAATTTTATAACAGATATATGAAATAGACAAAAATAAATGAAATAATAAAAAAACACTTAAAGAACATGGTACATATAAAAGAAACAACATGAACACTATAAACAACATAAGTAAATATAAATACTATAAACAAAATATGTACATAAAAAACAATTTTATTTTCACTTAATTTATTTTGGTAGGCAAAATAGTTTAATGCTATTTACAATAGGGAGTTAGGAGTCCTCTTATGTGAGCCCGCAAAAATTTCCTTTCCTTGTAGAAACGTTTTTGTTGCAAGTGGTACGAAAGTAGCTCAATATTGTCTTCCCGTCGAACTTCATTTCATGACCTTCATCACAATATTTCACCTTTGCAATTATTCCGGCCTCTTGAAAATATTTGATAACCTCTTCTTCTGATGACGGCAAGTCACACAATGTAATATAATTTGACACATTCATAATTTGATGAAAATCAATCTAATAGAACAAAAATAAACGATGGAATAACTCACAGCTCACACAAGAAAAATAAACAATGGAATAACTGAGCTTACACCAGATAAGAAGGGAGGTTATGTGATGTAACATTAGATAACAAGGGAGGTTTCATTCTGACCAGCTATTTAAAGGTACTATTTGGCTGGCGCGGTCGACGACAGCGACTGCTATTCCCCCCTGCCAACCGCTGTTGGCGTACCTATTTCGCTGAAACTGCTCACTGGGGTTGTTATAACCTGCCTATAACCTTCGAACATTTCGCTGTATCTTTGAAGATAAAAAGATAGACATAATATAAGAATAAAAATGAACTTCCTATAATAATGAACATCTCTGACTACCGCTTTTTTATTTCAGGAGGAAACAGAAGAGAAAATGTTGTTCATAAAGAGAAGAAATATCAGTATTTCGATGTGATGCTCATCATCAAAGTTCCTCTTTTTCCAATTCAAATAAAAAAGCGGTAGTTAGAGATGTTCATTATTATAGGAAGTTCATTTTTATTCTTATATTATGTCTATCTTTTTATCTTCAAAGATACAGCGAAATGTTCGAAGGTTATAGGCAGGTTATAACAACCCCAGTGAGCAGTTTCAGCGAAATAGGTACGCCAACAGCGGTTGGCAGGGGGGAATAGCAGTCGCTGTCGTCGACCGCGCCAGCCAAATAGTACCTTAAGGAGTACTGTAGGGTACTTATCTAATAGCGGGTAGCGTCGGACTGCTATCTGCCAATGTTTATAACCTTAACACTGATAAGCTCTTTGTATTCATATTTATTGTATTGTATTGATATTATTGAAATTGTGAACAAAAACAGAAACAAATGTAATAATAACAAAATGCTTTTATTTTACAACGTATATATTAAAATATACCAAAATATTATAAATATTTATTTAAAAAACATTACGAAAACATTGCAGCATATATATAAAAATAAATGAAATAATAAAAATAGGCAAAAAATAGACAAAAAAGATGAAATAATAAAAAACTACTTAAACAGCATATGTACATATAAAACAAACATTATGAAGAAACGATAGAAACAAAATGTGAAAAATTTTATTTTGGTAGGGAAAATAATTTTTATGGTATTTAAAATACCGAGGAAGGGATCCTGATCTCTATGAGCCCACCGCCATAAAAACTCACATAAATATGAATCCAGGTGTTGTCTGGCAATTCCTCTGTGTTTTTTATTTCTCCACTTAGCTGAGCCCCATAATCGTTCAATGTGTTGAGTATGGACTCCACTTGATGAATCAACAAAATTATACCTGTGATTCACCTGAAAATGATTGTAGTTTGCTTCATTGAGTTGTTTGGTGTTGTATCCTTTCCAACAGTCGGAATAAATGGTGCTTCCCTCTTCTACATTGTTTTTAATGGCTTCTAATAAAGTTGTTGCTTTTCTATCGTTTATTTTAACGATAAAACACTCGTCTGTTTCTCGGCAAACTCTGCCAAACATCCATTGCTCAGGTAGGACTCTCCCCACATGATTTTTTCTTTTCGAAAAAAGACTCGTCTACTTCGACGACTTTGCCAGGCCCTCCAATTTTTTTATTCGACCTGTATAACATGTCATGGGCACAAACTTCTCTTAAAAATTTGTTCCATGCTACGACAGTTCCGATGGATAGTTTGAGCTGCTCTTTCCCCCACTGTATTGTAGTTAAATTATGGGACCACCCATAAATGAATTTTAAAGCCGTTAAAAAAGAAATCCTCGACCCCTCTAACCACGTTCCTTTCCTTATAGAAACCTTTTTGTTACACCTACGAAAGCATCTCCATTTAATCTTCCCGTCAAACTTCATTTTATGACCCTCATCACAATATTTCACCTTATCAAATATACCGGCGTCTTGAAAATATTTGATAGCCTCTTCTTCTGAAGACGGCAATTCCCACAATGTGACAAGATCCATAATTAAATAAACTCACACCTGGCACAAGAAACAAAAACTAAAGAACAGAATAACTTAGGTTAGATGAGATAAGGGAGGTTATCTGAAATGAGATTAGATAAGAAGGGAGGTTTTGACGCTACCCGCTACTGAATAAGTACCTATAATTTTTTCTATTTAAATCTATTATTTTCATTCTATAACTTCATAGTTTTTTTCTCTGTTTTATAAATTATTACTGTCATTAATTTTTTTCATATGTTTGTTAATTTTTTTTTTTTTCATAAGTTAATAGTTTCTAATATTGTGATCTGGTTTTATCATAGCCCTGATGAAGGCCTTTAATTTTGATTAAATATTACATAGATTTAAGTTTCAAAAACTTCATGTGTTAAAAAATATGGTACTCCTTAAATAGCCGGTCGGGATGAAACATCCCTTATTATCTAAAGTTTCATCACATAACCTCTCTTCTTATCTCGAGTTATTTCATCGTTTATTTTTGTTCCATTAATGTGATTTTCGTCAAATTATAGATGTGTCAAATTATATTATATTGTGAGAATTGCGGTCTACAGAAGAAGAGGCTATCAAATATTTTCAAGAAGCTGGAATAATTGTTTTGTTATTATTACATTTCTTTTCGTCTTTTTAATATTTATAGGAATTATATATGTCATCTACTTAATATATATATTTTTTTATTATTATATTTGTTTTTGTTTTCAATTTCAATAATATGAATATAATACAATAAATACCAGGATAGGAATTATCAGTGACTTATCAGAATTATCAGTGTTAAGGTTATAAACATTGGCAGATAGCAGTCAGACCCGACCGGCTATTTATGGAGTACCAAAAATATGTTTAACATTATTATTGTCAAAATTGATATGATAAGAAAACTTTAATTGTAACACAAAATTATTGAAGATTAAATAATACATACACACGTACACATGATAACTTATTTACATTTATAAATTATTTACAAATATATATAACACCTTTTTGATCATTGAAAATGTCAACTGAATTTCTTGAGTTTAGAAACAAATTCCAGGGTATCTTCACTCTTTGATAAACGATCATCTAATGTTTTCTCTAGCTGCCTCATGGAAGAAATGACATTGCCGCTTGACATCAAAACCTTTAAGCACAGTTACCACTGTCAGTCTATTATATCAAACAATAAACAGAAAAAACAACATATGCTATAAGTAATATGCATAAAGGTTAGGTCAACCAGAGAAACAACATTCACTACTAGAAATTTTGGTTATAATACTTACTTTAGAAAGAAAAAATAATGCTTCCCCATATTTCTTTTTATTTAAAAACTCAAGACAAAAAATATTTCTGTTGCTACCATTACAGTAATGGACAAAATAAATATATCAAATAAAACTGGAGTTGCAGTCAAGAGATCCAGTAACAGCGACCCTAGTTCTGGGTATATCAGAGTTATTACTATTGAAGGAATCTATACCCTGTATAGATCTAGTTTTTTATATCAACTTAGGTCACTACGTCGGCACACATTAAAACAGTATTATAATATGTGTGTGACAGCCTTGTTTGTCTTGTATTATTAAAAAGGATAAATACAATATTAAATGTTCGTCTTATTATATTTTGAACATAAAACAATGTATTTTTAGTAAGATATCTATTCTACAAACTAAAATAATAAACATAAAATTTATCGCTGGAAAAATAAAAGAAAAGAATGAACAACATAAATATTAATGTTAACTTATGGAGGTCATTAAACAAATTTAAGACCCAAAAAGGTATTAGCTAAACTTAAACTTAACATTAAATTTTTAATATATAGAAAATTAATAATGTTTCGAAATAAAAAAGACAGATATGAAAAAAAATACAACTTGTGCAACGTAAAAAAAAAAAAAACCAGAGAAACCACTTTGAAGATGCTCTTGAAATCTGGTTCTCATGGAGAAAAAAATGGAGTAAGTCATTCCGCCCTCCATGAACTGATGAAAACAGACTGACTTTGTAAAATGTGTTAAAATTGTAAAAATGTGTTAAATTGATTATATAAAGTACCATTTTCAGTTTGCTGATTTTGACGACAATGTTTAAAAAAAACGTTAAATATGCAATTTCACTTTCATATGACTTTTCATTTTTGAGGTAATCGCACACGAACACACAGACCACTTTGCGGGACTTGGTTATTTGGACTCAGTAGACCTCAAAACATGTATTTCCGTTTAAAACCCAAGCTCGAAAATTTTCACAATCGCAATACTTACCCTTACTATATACTGCATATATGGGTAAGTGAAAGTAAAAAACCACTTAAAATGTAATTAAATAAAAATTAACTCCTAATAATAATACAAAATTTCTTTCTCTCCTGAAATTAGGACAAATTGAATACAAATTTTAATTATCTTCTAAACATTTACTGATTAAATCCATACCTTCAGCATACTGTCACCTACACACTTTTACCACCAATCTGAAAGCTTTCTCAGATTATCTAATGCTAAGACTGGAGATATAATTCACAGTTGCAGAATGCATAATCTTAAAAGTTTTTAACTAATAACATTGCTAAGCCACCAGAAGACACAACATTATACCATAATCAAATTTATAAGAGAACCAGAAACATGGTAGTGAGAAGAAAAAGTCAAAAGCGTACATGATAATTAACGCCAAAGACAAGTCTTACAGGTGACAGCTTTGAGAGCTTATAGAATGTGAGTGGCAGTTCATTGTTGAAGAACTCTCGACAGAGGGAATCAGACAATAATAGAACATTTACCCAGTACATTACCATAAAAATCTTAAAAACTGACTACGTCCTGACTATCGCCCATGATATGTAAACAATCGACAAACTTCCTCCAAATGTTATAAGTAAAAAATAAAATATTACTTTTTAAAATACATTAAAAAAGGACTAATATTAATTCACATCATGAAATATTACAAGATATCATTAGATGTTACTTTACTTACATTTTCGAGAGTTTGCATATTTTTATAGAGATCAGCAGTATGATGTCCAAATTCATATTGATCTTTAATAACATTCAATGATTCAGGTGAACTTATTTTTCCATTGATAAGACTTAATCTGTTCAAGTACTCTTTCAACTTACATAATACTATCTTATTTTCTTCAGAGCTGGTAACAACAGGCTAAAACAATAAATATATCTACTGATTATTTATTTACATATTTTTTCACTTTTCATTTTAATTAAAATTGTCTTCTTTTTTTTTTTCAATAACCATCCTTATAACTTATCGAATGGATGAAAAATTTGTTTCCTTAAAAAATAGTTCTTGATTAATTAAAATATAGCCTGCTCAATTCAATAGGATAGGTCTCTACTCAGAGTCTCTAAAATCTGGACTAAACAAAATATGTTGTAAAATGCACATGAGTTTAGAGGTTATAAGAATTTCCTTCTCCTTAATTTTTTTTTTCAATTCTACATTTTTACTAAACAAAACATATTTGTGATTAAAACTCAAAATTTTATTTATAGTACCGTAGCCACCACAAAACAAAAAACAGTGCATTAATATTGTAATGTAAAAAACAAATAATAATAGTAATAAAATTTGTTTTTAATACAAACGGGAAAGTACACAAAAATTTAAGAATTCCTGTTCCATCAACACAGTTGCTTTGTTCTGATTAGTTCTCATTTTCTCAGTTGTTCAACATTCACAATAAACAGTATCTTGAAACATAGCCTTCAGTCAGCACTTTTTATTTTAACCATTTTGTTTTTTTAATACCAACCAGATTAACTTTGATTTCTAGACAATTGAAGTCTAGATTAACAGGAATCTAGTGCATATGATATGACAAAGATTAATCCATTGCTTAGAGGTTTATAATATACATTAACACATACACAGACAAAACTGACACATTCCTAAACGAAAACATACAAAAATCGCTTCAATTTATGTAAAGGCTTTCCAAAAACCAAAACAAAGCTTTGCAGCAGATGTGGAAAATATTTAGAACAACATATCTTTGCACAAAATTGCCCAATATCAAATATTGTTTCTTGTTTTTTAGGAAATTTCATTAACTTTAAAATGATCATAATGAAAAAAGTGTATACTTTTAGAGTTATTCGGAAAACTAATTTTACCAAATATGTCTAATTTGTTTTAAATATAAAATAACAAAATTAACAAACAAAAACAAAATTGAATAACAAGAAGAAAGCACAAGAAACTAAGCAAAGATGAGCGATAAAAAGAGGTTACACGAGATAAGAAGGTAGGTTCCAGGGCGACCGACTAAGACATAAGTACCAAATAAATTTATTACTTCTTCATGCACAAATGAGGTATATGAATCTATTAGATTTTTTTCTCTATTCTAAAAGGCTATATGAGTTGGGTTCGTTTTGTAACTGTTTGTATAGTAACTGAAGCCAGTCAAACAATTACAATATTGTCATTCCCAGACCATGTTAGGGGTTGAAATCTGAGAAGATGATATCATATGACATCCGTAGTAGATGTCTTCGTCTCTAAATTTTCATCTTTTCTGCGGTAATACAATGTGAAAAAAAGGATTCAAATTTTTTCAGCCAATTGTAATATAGATTAATTTCCCCTCAACCTAAGATAAGATAAATAGATTCATTGATGACATGAAATTGTAGTTTACTAACCTTAGCGACTTGTTCCTCAAGTGTACAAATAATATTATCGAAATTAGGAATCTCAGGCTCAAATAACGATGATTCTGTTTTTGTTGATGTTGATGGATGCTCATCAGCTAATACACAAGATAAAGGCTGAAATAAATAAAAAACATTAACAATGCATTCAGGCTTCAACAAATCAAAAAGTTTTGTATTTAATCTTAATGGAATAATAAATATCTAGATCATCCATATCTTATATCATAATAATTATGTCAATGAAATAATAAAATTATATCATTCATAACCATTACCATAATTACATATGAATAAAGACCAAACAATATTGGTAAAATAAAAAGTATAAACTTATATAAAAAATAACTTTTTCATAATAACTAGAAACAAATCAATTATCTCTTTATGCTTAAATAATAGAGAATTGACTTATATTACCATTATGTCACAATACTTTTCAGTGAAGCGTTGGCTGATTTCAGGTGAATATTTCATCATTTTTGCAAAACGAAACAAATTACTCCAAACTTTCTTTTGATGATGTTTTGGGCTCTTACCCTGTAGAATAATTAATCATTAATGCAATAAGAATATGAGAAAATATCAAATAACCAATACAAAATGATAATATACATGAGAATGATAGTATAGAAACTAAAGTAATTAGTCAATTAGTAAGAACACTTACTTCAACAAATTCGAAAGAGTCACCCTCTACAATACCAATGTTGAGAAAATAATCTGCCAGCTCTGAAATTAAGAAAAAATTCTAAGAAAGCTGACAACTTTCAAACATGAAAAGAAAAGAAAAAACAGAAAATTTACCTCCAGGTGGAATATCATTTAAAAACCCACTTGTCAGGGTATAAATCCATTTCAATAAAACCAATCTTTCAGGAGAGTTCTTAAACAAAATATTATCAGCTTCGACGTCATTATTAACAGCATAGGGAAATTTCGAATCTCTGATTTCCTTTATCCACATAATAGAATCAAGAATCATTCCGAGTTAATACATCAACTTTACCATCAAATTTTGGAGTTTGAAATTTGGCTACCGTTGACTTGATAAAATTCAAATGTAAGAATCGATAGAATCGAAAAGAAGATTGTGCCTAAACGATAGAGAGATGTCAGAAATGTAAAACTGAAACCTGTATTGAAATAAATAAAAACCAAAACTTAGTTTTATTATTTTGACCATAACATTCAATGTTCCACGATAATTAATAGTCAATCATCAAATGGAATGTGTAAGCATCGACTGTATAGGATCTCTAATTGTGAGGATTGCTCATAGAACAAGAAGGTCGAATCCTTTTGAATAACTCATTTCTTTTGTTGTTTTTTTCTTTCCTTTCTTCCTGCCTTGCCTTTTAGGCAATACGGGTTGTATCAGCAGTGTGCGTATTTCACTGCTGGCAGTATAGGTCTATTAAAATTTTGTTAACATTATTACTTATGAGGTGAAGACTTGTTTGTGTGCTCAAGCCCACAAACCTCTTTTTTTTCTTTTCTCCTTTCTTCCACATGAAGTCGGTCCTCGAAGCAGCTGCAGCTTGTCTTAGCTTCCTTCTCTTCTTCCCAGATTAAAATGTGTAGGGCCTACCGCATCTTTCCACCCGTATACGGACTCCCTATAATGTGGGTAATTCTCTCTGCTCATTAGCTGGGGGAACATGCTCTCTGTCAGTGTATATACCTCCGTCTCTCTCAGGAGCTTAGCTTTTAATGCCTCCTAGGCAGTACATTCGACTACCTCATGTTCGGTTGTCTCCGGAACGTTGCAGTTGGGGCATAGCGGATCAACATTCTTCCCGTGTTTAACGAGCTTCGCTCGGCAGTCCCCATATCCTGTGAGGAGTTGAGACACCCAGTAATCCGGGAGGACCCATCTTGCATCTAATCGTAACTTGACCGTGGGGAAGTACCTGCTTAGTGTAGCTCCCTTCGGAGTTGCCATCCATCGCCGGCTCCATTGATCAATTGTGTCCTTGATAATTCTTTTCTATCTTCTAGGTTCTTCTTCAATTCTCATCTTTATATGTTCCAGTAGATCCGCCAAACCTTCTCTTTTCATTTCAAAGAGGTAACAGTCTTCTCGCAGGAGGAGATCGAGAGGTGTCCCCCCTGCCAGTACTTGCACTGCTTCATGAGATATCGTTCTATAGGCTCTAGTAACCCGAAGTAACGCTAATCTCTGAATCGATGCTAGCCTACTCTTCTGTCGATGCGAGAGGTTTAGCTCCAGGCTGGGGACGCATATCTCAGAATATCCAAAACTACTCCTTTGTATATAGTCATAGTAGCTGGGTATCTGAGACCCCAGAAGGCGCCTCCAACATGACTGAGTCCATTTAGCACCACTGTGACTCTAGTTCTCATATAATCCAGGTGAGGAGTCACGTTGAACTTTCGACCAATTTTAATGCCAAGGTAGGTGACCACCTCACTTGGACGTATCCTTTCTCTTTCTATATTCAACATTATATGATGTGCCATGTCAGTCGTACCTCTTCGAGCTTCTCCAGCAACTCGTCAAAGATTAGCTTCCACAAGGCAGGAACCAGAACAGAATCCTGCGGGTAGCCCCTCTCAATGAATCTGCCCCTAATTTTCAATTTCCGGTCCGGTAGCTTCTCGCTAGTTCATACAGGTTACTGGGAGTTTCATAGTTCTGGAGTTGCTGGAGAACACTCGGCCACCATATGCTGTCAAATATAGATGATATATCGAACAGGAGAAGCATAACATACCACTCCGCTCTTTCTTCTACGTCATGACGTACTCGCAATATGGCATCTGCGGTTCCCTTGCCTTTAATGGATCCATATTGCCGTAGATGGCTCGATCTTGATAAGACTGACCAAAGGCTCAAGAGCACCAGATTTTCCAATACATTGCTCATTATAGGAAGGAGGAAAATGTATGATTTGGCTAGTTGCTTGTCCTTGTCTCTTCCTTTGTAAGAGTCTGACATCAGCAGTTTTCCTGCTTCTTGGAAAATATCCCCTATCCAGACAGTCGTTGAGAATCGCAAGGAGCCTATTCTCTAGATAGGGAATACTATTCTTGAGCATTGCCGCATCAATCGCATCCAAACCTGGAGCCCGGCTAGTCTTTTGCCTTTCCACGGCACTACGGAGGTTCCAAATGTCCCATGATGGGCACAGGTCCGTCCCAGGCGAGTAACTAACTCCCCGGCGCTACAGACCAGCATGACCGTTGGCCTCCTGAGTTATTTTTCTCCATTTCTGTCTGTCCTGTGCTACTCTCTTCCAATTGCGAACTCCCAGCTTTTTCGCATCTCTCTCCACTTCATCCTTCCATCTGCTTCTCGGTCTTCCTCTTTTCCTCTTCCCACTGGCGTGCTTCCAATATTTTTCTCTGCACCCATTCATTCTCCATTCTGACTACATGTCCTGCCCATCTTGCCTTGATATAGTTAGTAATGTTTTGATTCTCAAGTATAGCCTCGAGTTCATTGTTACTTTTGATTTTCCACTCACCATTAACGCTTTCTGCTGAACTCCGTTTATTTTCTTTGTAGCAAGATATTCTTTTAGGGAAGTCTCGATTTTCTTAGCCTCTAGGGCAAGGCTGTCTTCTTTTCCTCGTCCTCAAGATCAGGAGTTCCTTCACGACGCGTCTTCAATTGTGGTCTTTGTAATTTTTCCGTTGTACACGGACCTTCTGGTATTCTTTCGAATACCAAAAAAAGGTAGATAAGTCCTTTGATCCAGACGAAGTTGGCCTGCTCAACCACAAAGTGTACAGTTGGCTATAAATTACTGACTCTTTATTATGTTGATTTTTTTTAAATAGTATTTTTAGTGTGTTAATTTATAAATATACCACTATATTAAAAAACAACTAATTTTTAGTTATTAAATGCTAATGCACCAGCAAAATTATCTGGTTTTCTTGAGTTTGTTTTAAGCAATTTAAATCACCGATATTACCAATAAAAACAAAGTAAAAAATATTTTCAACAGTGTTTAGAGAATTTTGTGGAAAAGGGATACTTATTAATATTTATATATATAGTTGTTAAAACCGCTTTTGGCTCTTATTAAACTTGCCACAGAAAAGAAAAAACATTGACCATCACACAAATGCAGCTATGATTAAACACGAAATGAGATAGAATCTTAAAAAGTACTACTAGAGATTACTTGTCATAAACTATAGCAGTGGTCACATAACCGGCGAAAGTTTCTTTGACTACATAGAAAATTTAAAAAATATTTTTAAAAATACCAAATTTAGTGAATCACTTAAATACAAGGTTACAACAACATTTATTGTATGAGTTGTTTCTTTAGAAGCTTTATTCACAACTGAAGCGGCATTTATAGAAACTTCTTTTTTTCTATCTCAAGCTATGGCCGACACAACGCCGAATTGTGTGAACTGTATCCGGTTAATATAATTGAAGTGATTACATCATGTCGAATCAAATGGGCTTGTAAAATTTTTGGGCTTGGTAACGAAAGAATTTCTAAAAAGTTAATATTTGCTGTACCGAATGGTAAACATCCAAGGAGAAGACCGAGCCGAAGATGGGAAGATTGCGCTAAAGCCGATCTCAAAGGACGTGATCTGGACGGCGAACAGTGGGAGAAGGTGTGTAATAAGCGATTGGTGGTGTCGGCATCGAACCTTCGGATTCGCTTAGCCTTTTATCATTATTATTATTCCGTAAATCAGACCAAACACCATACGTACCAGTAATTAAAAATCCTGAATACTTAAATTCTGATAATCTGTACATTGAGCTATCATATTTAAATAAAAGTTAAGGACCCCTTTCACGGTCAATATCGAGTTTCATCAATATATTGACCGTGTAAGGGCCAGATTGGCATCAATTATATTGACGTCAATCAAACTGGTTGATATCAAATTTAATTGATTTTTATTGAAGCTCCTTCAATATTATTGAAACAGAGTCTATATAATTGAGCATTTAAGGACTGTATTGAGAAATAATAAACCACATATACGGATCTTGAGAAGCTCTGGGCGATACCAAATTTCCGGTGCCCTCCTGGCAGTATGTTTGAGTTGGGGGTCATACTTTTTTTTTGAGGGAGGAGGCGTTTAATCCCCCTCCAATTTTTTTTTAATGATATAACGGATATATGTCTCGGTAGGTGGGTGACACTTTGTTTTATTTTAATTTTGTTTTGGGAGGGGGTTAATCTCTGCTCTCCGAATTATATTTTAAAGATTAAGTGGCTTAATCTGTGGATAGGTGGGTGATACTTTTTATACAAACTTTAATAACATTTTTTTATATCACTAATTTTTTTTTTAAATATAAAATAATTAAGAAACAATAATAGAACCAATTTGAGATAAGAAACGTTTTAATGTCTTGGAATAAAATAAAAATTACCAAGAATTCTTTTCTTTTTTTAATTTAATTTAATTTATTTATTTTTTAATGTTAAAGCCAAGGAAATTACGGTAATATGAAATTCATTATTATTCATTTCCATAGAAAAGAAAGATTACCTCTTTGGAAACCACCTTCTTTAGTGGAAGCAAGATCGTAACTGACAATATTGATAATATTGACTAGATATAATTGACCCGTGTGAGGAGCCCCTTCAATACATTGCCTTCAATTATATTGCTTCAGTAATATTGGCTCAATAATATAAACCATGTAAGGGACCCTTAATTAAATATTTTTTTTATTTTTAAATACAAGTGCCTTATAGATATGTTTTTCTGCCATTATTTAAAAATTCTGAATTAGAACTGCAGAACATCAGTTACTAAATAAAAAATATACGATTTTAAAGGATATTATTTTCTTCAGATTTAGTAATGTATTAGCAATTCACTTCATTGCTATTTACAGATGTTTATTTTTTAACGGTTTTTACTGTTGACGCAGTTTGAATTTGAGCTAATGGCGCCATAGTAACGATTTTGTTTGAAGCGCGTCCGTAAAGTGAACCGGTTTTATTCGTTTAATTTTTTTATCGGTGTGTTATTGGGTTTATATTGTGACTATTAAAGTTTAATTGATTACCGTTCGCACAATGGAATCCGATATTCAGGTTTGTGTACAGTGTATTTACTGTATTATTGTTGTGTATGCTCACTTTGACATATTCTATCATTTTACTTACAGCTTGCTCTAAGAAGAATGAAGAACGTAAGAGACCGAGAAGAGTTTGAACAACCCAATGGTATGTGTTTATTCAACATATTAATTTTCCTATTTGTATACGATATACTATTTAATATGTTGTACAACATTTCAACAATTAGTTGTTTATATTTTTTATCTTCGGGGCAACTATTGTATTTGAATTTTGTTCTACTCTATTTCTGTAGTTATTCCTTAGCTTAGTTTCATTTATTGTTATGTTATCTGAACTTTTGTTGGGAAATGTGTAAATAGACTTCAAGGTTATTGGTTTAGTTTGATGTGGGTTTATTGCCAAAAATCATCAAGTAACATTTTCTAAATCTAAATAACTTATCAATATGATGAATTTTATCTCTGTTTAATGAGAGGATTGAGCACTTCTTCTATTTTTTTCTGATATATTTAAGTGTTCGTCTCATTTTGATGCACTTAATATGTTTTTACATAATTAAAAAGTAATTTAACAAACAAAAAGTAATTTAAAAGTTTAGCTCTATTAAGAGAGTACTCAGTGACTTTTTGCGGTAAATCTTGCTGTGATGTTCAATTTGTTTCTGTTTAGTTAATATGTCAGTTATATGTTATAATTTATACTCCAACATTAAAAATATTATATACTGTGCACACTTTAATTTTTTATATAAAATCTTTTATATTATTTTAGTTGACCTAAGTGAGAAAGAAAATTCTCACCCATTGTTGAGGGATAAAACAAAGACAAGACTCGAAAGATTAGGAATTCTGTATGGAGGTATGTATTTCTTCTGAATAAAATTACTCTATTGACACTTTTATTAATTGATTGTTTTGTTGTGGTAAGATCACTCTAAGTTGGTCGTCGTCTTTAGATTATCTATCAGTTTTACCATTTTTCTCTATCATTTGTACCATTATTCTCTATAATTTATCATTTTATGTCATTGTTTTTGTGGATAACATGGCATTTTGAAAAAACATCCCATTGTTTAATTTAATGCTCTTGCTGATTGTTTGAGTGAAATTTTTGTACTAGTTCACATCCAGAAGAGCTTTTGTCATCAATCACCCGTAATAAGTGCTGGAAACAACTGATTGAATCCGATAATACTTCCTTATAACACCAATGTATATGTTACGGGCTTGATACATAATCAATATCAAATTTTGTCAATATATTGATAACATTAGGGATTCATTATAATAGTGGGATAATATTAATGTCGATGAAAATTTGGTTGGAATGCCTTTTTTTTTTTTTATTGAAGTTCTTTAAATTTTATTGAATGAATAGCATTATCATAGTGTTTAAGATTTGCATTTAGCAGTATTAAATTGTATATTTGTTACATATACTTATATAATGTTTATTACTTCAGTTTATTGAATACATAATGGAGTTCAATAATAAAAAAGGTACTAGTTCACAAGAGTTCCGCACGGATTACGCATGGTTCACAATCACTTCGGTCACACTTGTTCATGGAATCCCGAATGCCTTCGGGTTTATCCGACAGAGAACGAAGACGACCGATCTCTTGAATTAGTTACGATTAACTTTCCCGCCATTTAAGTACTTCTATAACCTTAACCATGTTCAGTTATATTAACGTTGTTTAAGGTATTGACTTAAATTCGAAATTTAGACTACACATTATAAAACCTGAATCGAACATGCACATATATTATATATATATGTGAAAAAGGAATATTAATAGATAAAAACATTTAATTATTACATCTCTGAATGCTATTTCACAATATTTTTCTTATTTATGATTTCCATTATTCATTATCTCGGAATTATCAGATATTCTTCTTCAGTTCTTTCCTCAATACGTTAATTCCTTGCTCGAAAATAAACACGATTTTTTTATTTTACGAATGACCACAATAATCGCCATTCGGATTATTTATTATCCAAATGATAAAAAACTCTTTTATACAATTTATAATAGATAATATACAACAGAATATGCGTATTTATAGCCACTACATGTAAGCACGTGTCAATAAAAATTTTATTTTTAAAAACAATTTTTTTTTACTGGCCTTGAAAAAAGACTCAAACATTATTTTATATATGTTTTCTTTTTCTTTCACAGTAATGACCGTTATAATGCAAATTAATAATTTACTAATTAAGTAAATACACAATTTGTTAATACATTTTTAATAAGGAAGTTCCACGAAGGGAATACTTTTTTTTTTTCTTTCAAAAATGCATTAAGAGGGACAATAGCTGACGTCATAAAAGACGACAACATTCGGCTGTTTTCGGGATTCCATGAACAAGTGTGATCGAAGTGATTGTGAACCACGCGTAATCCGTGCGGAACTCTTGTGAACTAGTACCATAAAAAAATCTGCTCATATCTTAGATAGAAGTTGATTTTGTTCCAAATTTCCCTTCTGATACTTTCTACTTTTTAGTTGAAGTATATTACTGTATTTATAATTTGTGTTTTATATACTTTATTTATATTTATCTAAAAGTATATATTTTTCTTCCGACATTCATTTTTCTTACTCCTTCATATAAAATTAACATATTACACGGTGGGCCAGACCCCCTTACCGTGCACCCCCCCCCACATCCCTATAAATTGCATATCGTTGTGTTCCTTGTAACAATTTATTAAAAAAAAGCCAATGTTCCCACAAAAAAAAGTGAACGCACTGCCCCAAAATGGCGTCCAAAGATGGCGGATTGACGACTTTGACTTTAGTTAGTTTTTTGGTCACTGAGAATCAGCATTAAGCTTAATTTCCTCATAGTTGGTCTTTTATTAAAGCTGAATAGTTATAGAATAATAAAACATGAAGAAATATTAAAAAATAATTGGCTAAGGCTATGAAAAACACCAGTAAAGTCAATTTTTTTAACAAAAAAATTTTCAAGTTACAAATCAAGCGTCGTTTGTAATTAAACGGCCTACAATAACGCAAAACGTGCTGAAATAAACCATCTGGAGAATATATTTCTCTTTCTGAAACGCTGATTATTTTTTACAAATGTTTGAGTAGTTCCGTAAAAAATGCACTTATGCGGCAGAAAAGCGGTACTGGCGTGGGTGCCTACAGGCCTCTACCACACCATTCAGTGCCCATAAATGGCTTAGTTATAGTGATATAATAACATTTTTGGTACATTATATTGGTTTTATTAACGAACAAATATTAATGCAATAATTTAATAGTAAAAAAAAAAATTTAAATTAAAAAAAAATTTATTATTATTTTTTTAAATTTTAACCTCCTTTATTCTATACGTAGGTCGTTTAAGAATACCTCAATTGTAAAAATGGTATAATTATAATAATAAAACTTAATTAAAAAATATTTTGCTAAATATCTTGATTTTTTTTTATTTAACGTTTGCAATTTAACACTGTGTTTTGAATATTTACTGATTCTTAGAAGTAATTAAAATTTTTATATACTTCCCAGGAAATGAGTCATATTCATACCTTTTTTATAAACTAAAATAATATATACCTAATCTGAACTATATATAATGAATAGCTACCGGGTTGTTTAGTAAAACTCATATATCACTAATTAAAAAATTAATTTTTATTTCCTCTATTTTGTGCAGAAGTTGGACTATATCATAAATAAATAGGAAATTTTAATATTGAATGAATTATTCTCTATGCACAAAGAAATATATAAAGGGTGACCCTATAAGTTCTTCTATAAACCAAAACTGATTGTTTGGATTTGATCTCAAAATGAGGAAAAACGTGAACTTAAACGAGAAAATTGGAAAAATACATTAAGCGAACGAGAAAGGAAGTGCCAAAACCTCGGAATAGATAAAAAGGACCAGTTATATCCATTATATAGCTAAATGAATGTATAGTAGATAGATGAACAGAATATTTCAAGATGCTGCTAAAACGGGATCAATTGCAGTATGGAAGATATTAAGTTGACGATGTAGGTTTATTATGGTGAAAACCACTTTATTTTCGATTGCTGAAGGTGCACATCGGGACTATATTAACTTTGAAGATGAATATAGAGATGTACATCGAGAAAGTTATAGCTCATAGCTTTCCTTCTGTTTAGTGGATTTTCATAAGATTTTTTAAGGGATCTAAAAGGAAAACGAGTTTTTCTGAAAGACAGTTAGATATTAGCATAATCCAAAGTGTGAGGCACTGAGCAGATAGAGAGCTATTTTTCTTTTTATGTGGACTTCTCTATAACCTGCCTTAAAGTGAAGACAGTCCCAATTTTCAACTGCTCTTCCAATGTGCAACTTGAGTTTCTCAATCCATATCACTCTGGCAATCGACAATATTTCTTATTCCAGCTTCTACGATTCTTGTGTATAATTTGTTTGGTACACAGGAATGGGTCTTGATTGGTATTACATTTCCTAGTACCTCCTTTCTTGTAAAGGTAAAAACCACAGTCCTTTCATATTATTTTCTAATATGCTTGTTGCCTATGTACGCGAAAAATTGTCAAAGCAGTTCGGTTTCGCCCTTTCCATCTTTCTTTGTGCAGAGAGAATAATACATTCAATATTAAAATTTCCTATTTTTTTATGATATGGTACAAATTCCGAACAATTCAAGAATAACGAGAAGAATAACGAGCTACAACTAATATAAGATACCTTAAAAAATCTTATGAAAATCCACTAAACAGAAGGAAAGCTATGAGCTATAACTTTCTCGATGTACATCTCTATATTCATCTTCAAAGTTAATATAGTCCCGATGTGCACCTTCAGCAATCGAAAATAAAGTGGTTTTCACCATAATAAACCTACATCGTCAACTTAATATCATCCATACTGCAATTGATCCCGTTTTAGCAGCATCTTGAAATATTCTGTTCATCTATCTACTATACATTCATTTAGCTATATAATGGATATAACTGGTCCTTTTTATCTATTCCGAGGTTTTGGCACTTCCTTTCTCGTTCGCTTAATGTATTTTTCCAATTTTCTCGTTTAAGTTCACGTTTTTCCTCATTTTGAGATCAAATCCAAACAATCAGTTTTGGTTTATAGAAGAACTTATAGGGTCACCCTTTATATATTTCTTTGTGCATAGAGAATAATTCATTCAATATTAAAATTTCCTATTTATTTATGATATAGTCCAACTTCTGCACAAAATAGAGGAAATAAAAATTAATTTTTTAATTAGTGATATATGAGTTTTACTAAACAACCCGGTAGCTATTCATTATATATAGTTCAGATTAGGTATATATTATTTTAGTTTATAAAAAAGGTATGAATATGACTCATTTCCTGGGAAGTATATAAAAATTTTAATTACTTCTAAGAATCAGTAAATATTCAAAACACAGTGTTAAATTGCAAACGTTAAATAAAAAAAAATCAAGATATTTAGCAAAATATTTTTTAATTAAGTTTTATTATTATAATTATACCATTTTTACAATTGAGGTATTCTTAAACGACCTACGTATAGAATAAAGGAGGTTAAAATTTAAAAAAATAATAATAAATTTTTTTTTTAATTTAAATTTTTTTTTTTACTATTAAATTATTGCATTAATATTTGTTCGTTAATAAAACCAATATAATGTACCAAAAATGTTATTATATCACTATAACTAAGCCATTTATGGGCACTGAATGGTGTGGTAGAGGCCTGTAGGCACCCACGCCAGTACCGCTTTTCTGCCGCATAAGTGCATTTTTTACGGAACTACTCAAACATTTGTAAAAAATAATCAGCGTTTCAGAAAGAGAAATATATTCTCCAGATGGTTTATTTCAGCACGTTTTGCGTTATTGTTGGCCGTTTAATTACAAACGACGCTTGATTTGTAACTTGAAAATTTTTTTGTTAAAAAAATTGACTTTACTGGTGTTTTTCATAGCCTTAGCCAATTATTTTTTATTATTTCTTCATGTTTTATTATTCTATAACTATTCAGCTTTAATAAAAGACCAACTATGAGGAAATTAAGCTTAATGCTGATTCTCAGTGACCAAAAAACTAACTAAAGTCAAAGTCGTCAATCCGCCATCTTTGGACGCCATTTTGGGGCAGTGCGTTCACTTTTTTTTGTGGGAACATTGGCTTTTTTTTAATAAATTGTTACAAGGAACACAACGATATGCAATTTATAGGGATGTGGGGGGGGTGCACGGTAAGGGGGTCTGGCCCACAGACTATATACTTTTCCATTTTATGGTTGATTTGACTTCTTTTTTTTTTCACTATGAATGAATTTTTATATTAAAAAATATTTAAAAACATTAGTAAATAATTCTATTCAAATAGTAATTTATTTCCTTGCATATATTTTTAAGCATAATTTTCTTAAGCTTAGCCTTTACTATTATTATATTATTAATGTTTTATATCTATTAACATGCTAATAAAATGTTTCCCCTGTTATTTAAAGCTGTCAGTTATTTTAAAGTAATTTAAGGAACATACTAAAATCAGTTATTTGTTTTAGGTGGAGAAGTATCCTCTCCAATACATAAGTCAGAACAAAATTGGGAAGAAGATGATGACGATGCCACTTCAGGTGGGGATAAGAGCCCTTATGCCGAAAGGAGAGCTAGAAGACTCCAAGCGCTCGCAAATACTATCAATAGTTGGGAGGATGATATGCGACATATTTCTCCCAAAAAAGAACAGGTGCCTTAATAGCGATAATAAGTTCATAAAATGTAAAATGGTTATCTATCTTATGAAGAAAATATTTTTTTAAATTGTATTCAACGACACCTTTTAAGATTCAAATTACATTAGTCTAGCTCTTTTTTAGCTGTATGGAAAATGTTTATATAACCTTATTTCTCAGCATCCTGTTCTCCGACTTCTAAGTCTATAAATTCTAGTTGCAATTATAAGTTATTAATGTTTCCTCTCTGTTTTAGAGACGTTCTTTTATATAGTTAAATTTCATGATACAATAGTTTTTATGTTCCTCATTCATGGCGCTACTACTTTTGTAGAGTGAGGGCTTCCTGCAGCTTCAATGGCCAATCACCTCACCTGATTGTGCATGATATCATTCACAATTTCATGAGGATCATTCCGTTAAACTTCAGTTTTTCTCGCATTTATACTTAAAATAGTGTATTTATACTTGTTACAGTTCTTTACAGGGCTGCAAAGGCTTCCTTTATGGCTGATCTACCAACCAATACAATGTCGTCAGCAAACCCTAACAGCTGTCTCTATTAATTAAAAACTGTTCCACTGTCCTGTATATGTGGTTTTCTAACTGCAGGGCAATGTTAAACAGGAGACATACTAAACAATCCCCTTGGTATATTATTAGTATTCGGACAAGTCACCTTGAATTTTGATAGTGCATGTCACATAGACTTAGACGGAATACCGAGGTCTAACATATCTTGATACTGTTGTCCCTCGAGATTCTTTCATAAGCTCTCTAGTAATCAATAAAGAGATAATTTACACACATATTATGCTCTCTGATCCTCTCGAGGACTGTTCTAATCCAAAATATTTGATTGATAGTAGATCTCCCTTCCTTAAATCCAGCTTGATACATACCTTCTTCTCTCTCCACGAATGGGAGTAGCTCCTGAATGATGATTTTTGAATGGATTTTATATGCACATGACTTTTATATTAAGTGTTATAAAAATTGCTAGTGTATATTAGAAAATAAAAACAGTTGGCACTAAATCTGGTTCATACTTAAGGTATCTAGAAATATGAAGATACGTTCAGTGACCTATATATATAAGAAGAATTCATGGTCCAGAGTTCGTCTGTTGTTTGTATTCAGTTAGTTGCTAAGTTAGCTCTCTACAAAGAAGTTGTAAAGAAAGATAGTGCCTTATCATTGTTGAGGTTACATTATTTTGTCAAAAAGTATTTTATAATGTGAAATTATTAAGTATGATTATATTTATATAAAATATAAGGCCTCCGGTTACGATTTTAATTCAAAATAATAATTTAAATTGTTGTTTATTAATGATGATTAAGTGTTAAATTAATTTATTTGGTCAGCACTAGCCATCGTCTTATGCAGTCATCAGTACTATGAAACCAGAATGGTCTCTTTCTATATCAAACTGCAGCTTGGTTCTGCAGTACAATTATATTTCTAGATATGGTTAAAAACCATGGCCCAGAGGCCGCATCCAATCCAATCGGGCCTACGAAAGTCTCTTACGATTACATGGTAAAATTTTAAACACCATTTAAATAATATGAAATTTAGTAAATCATTCTTAAACGAGGTTACTACATTTATTGCATGATTTGTTTCTCGTAGAAAGCTCATTTCACAACTGAACTGTCGTTTATAGAACAAGCATTTTATTTTACTCATCATAAGCCATGGTCTGTGGAATTTATTGGAGCTCTCAATGCAGGCCAAAAATATTACAGACCACTGCCCGAGGGTGTAGTAAATATATTTGTCCTCAATCTATTCTTTTTCATAAAAATTATATAAGTAAATTTGGTTAAGTATTAGAGTCCCAGTAAGTAAAGAACGATTGTATTTATATCTTCCTGCCTCATACCTTAATGATTGCTTACTGACTTAGAGTATGCTAAGGTATGAATTTGTAACCGTAGGAAGATAAAAATTTTAATCATTGTAACATATAATTGTAGCTGTTTTATATTCTCTTCTACTTTTTACACTTGTAAGGGTGTTAGTTTCTTTGTCTAAACAAATCATCCATTCATTTTTTATTTATTTTTAATGATTTAATGATAAAATATTTTTACTTATGGTTATATGTTCACTTTTTCGACTTTATAACTGTAGAAAATATATTTTTCTTTTTATCCTTTGTCTTGATATACCTATAATGTTGCATCTTGCATATGAATAGGAGATAGTAGTAGCTTGAAATAAATTTTTAATTGTGACATTTACATTTATAACACTTATTTTCCAGAATCAAAACATTATAGTCTAATTACTGTTTAATAGTACTTTTATGATTGATGAAAAGTCACTCTATTGTGAAATTAGGAAGTTCACTCTTACACCAAGTGGTTTAAAGCAGGAATGTCTCAAGGCTCTTTCCTTGATCCATTATTATTCAACATAGTCATCTTTTCCATAGCACTATCAGATTTTATTGACTTCATTTTCCCCTACTTAATACTAAAGGAGCAAAACCCTTAGCAAACATATTCTGCAAAACTACCCCTTTGCTGTTGCTGATGTTATGAGATGAAAAAAATAATGTTTTTGTTATATTAACTCTAAATCATCATCCTCCTTGCTTTCAGATACTTTTTAATGTTCCTTCATACGGACCTAGTTGTATTCAAACTGTTTCTGACTTTTATCACAAAATTTATATCATTTTCCACTAAAGCTTTCCATGTGAATCCTCTGACTTAAGAGCTCCTAGATCTTGTAGATAAAAAAAAATTCATACATATTCTTCAGTGACTATTTGGCCCTTTGATTAATTGATTGCTTATATTCTCAAAGTTAATTTTTTAAAATATTTATTACAAAAAATTGTTTGTCTGCAATATATTATTAAAGTGTAGTAAGTCACTGTAATCCTTGTTAAGTTGTAAACTTGAAAGTGACAGGTTTAAATTTTGTTTTATAGGAGGAACGGATAGATAGATTTGGAAATAAGGTAGGTTCCAAGGCAGTTAAGCATGAAGCAGTACAAATTCCACTTAAAACCCAAAATGGGCAGCAGCAGATTCAAGGACAAACCCCGAAGAAGGTGATATGGGACAAAAGGATTATTAATTCATTGGTAAATTATTTTTGAAATAGTATTAACTGATTTCATTTTGTTTGTTTATGCGGTTTGCGTAGTAAATTTCATTAAACAATACTGGACGGTCTCGATAATTTTAACTCCTATTACTCGGAAACTCCTGGTAATACGAAGAAGAAAGAAAAAAAGTTAAAGTTGACTTATGAGAGACAGAATGGAAATGGATCTGTTTCTCAGTACATATTACTAGAATTGCATCGTATGATAGTGTCAAAATCATATTGTGGTGTCTCTAAACGGAAAACATTAAAACTAGGTGGTCATCCAGAAGTTGACGAACATCTTTAAATGTGGTTTTTGCGGCAAAGATCATAAGTGTGTTAGCTGAAAACTCAAAGTTTTTCTAGGTTTTATGAATGAAAAGCACCTTTTCTATAGGTCATTTTTTACTTGATTAATCTGACTTTATGTTACTGACCCATCATTAAAGACCATTTATTCTATTAGAGGCAACACAATAATTGTTAAGTTTAAAAAGTTGGCTTGATATTTTCAAAAGTAGATATAGAATACATTTTTTACAACCATTTAATTTTTCATTCTATGTGTCATAATAAAATTAATAATTAAGGCTTAGCGAATAAAAATAACAAGCATTTCCCACCTTCAGTCTAACCTTTATGTCCTCTTCAATTTGTTTTTTTCTAGTTATTGTAGACCTTAGATACCTAAACTTCTCTACATTTTCAAACATATTGTCTTCTGTATCAAAATCACCAGAATTAACGCCATTTTTGCAGCTAACCATATATTTTGTCTTATCTGTGTTTATTTCCAGCCCTAGTTCTTTGCCGGCTTTCATTAACTTCGTATTCAGTTTTATAATTTCTGTTTCTTCGCTTAACAGGACCAAATCATCCGCATAGTTAAGCACGAGTGTTGTCCCACCCAGATCCAACCCCTTTTTGTGCGAATTACCTTCCTAATGCCATGTTCCAATGCCAGTATGTAAGTCATAGAAAAGCCATAAAGGCATTTAATATTTGCTTGGAGTAAGTGAATTTCTTTAGCATTAAAATCAGGCACTTAACATAAATTATATGGTCATTTTCAAAAATAATTTTACTATTGTAGTGTGTTTATATTTTCATTACCTTGTTAAATTTTTCCATCATTTTAAATATAATCTCTGATAATCCGAACAGGCCATAAAGACCATCCTGTATTCTAAAAATCTTTTTTTTTTTTTAAATAAAAATTTCATCGTGGAAATTGAAATTTAAATGGAATGAATTGTAGAAGCTGATTGGATTTGACTACAGACAGACATGAAACCAAATTCATTCTTTCATGTATAAAATGTAAAACATATGGAAATTTTCCATAATGAGAAAGTAAAAAATATATATTTATATAGTTAACTTGTTTATTGTGTAGTAATGTCATTTAAATTGTGGTTTATTTTATAGGAAATGCAGGGATTTAAAAGGTGTGAGTCCGAGGAGCACTTAGTCTATGATTATTTGTCTCCTAATAGTAAGAAATGCCTGAGCCCCACCAGAAGGCCACCACAAAATGTGAACCAGCCTCGCTCAGCCAGTCCCAGAAAGTTGGTTGTTATTAAGCCAGAAGAAAAATCACCTTCTCCTCAAAAGACTTCTCCACAAAAATCTTCTCCCCAAAAAATTTCTCCCCAAAAGAATTCTCCACAGAAAACTTCTCCCCAAAAGAATAAGATAATTGAAAAAAAGGAGGTTGTTTCACAGTCGCAATACTCTTTGGGCCAAGCTGTTGCTTCTCATATCAGGGAAAGGTAATCAACCTCAGTATATTATAATATTTATTTATATGTCTGATCATTTTAAATCTATTTAAATACTGAAATGATTTACAGTAGACAATACTAGTAATATTAGCTTACTTATATTTTTCATTTGAGTTTGTGATCTTGATCTTTTTTTGCTTCAGTTTATTTTTTATTTTATGTTTTTAGATGATCAATGATTTAATAACTCTATTAATGTTAACATAGGATAATTAAATAGAATATAAAATCAATTGAACTGCTGAATTTCTTTTTTATGTTCTGATTTTTTAAAACATTTATCTATTATTTTCTGAGTAATGGTAATCGACCAAAGGAATAAAAATTAATTAAAACTTCATTTGTGTTTTAACAATTTTTGCTCTTAATGGTCCGATTTAGATTTTTTTTTTTAGGTAATTTAGTGTTCTTATAAATAATTATGTAGAATTGACAAAGATATTGTGTTCCAACAAAAAACACCTTTGATAAATAATATAAACTCCTCATTTGTTTAAAAAACTTATGTCAAGGCCTAGTGTAATAATATAATATATGTGGAGATTATTTTAAATACAGTCCTTGCCGGAGGTCTTGTAGTTTACACAAATACAATTATACTTGATCTTTTCTTAATATGTAAAATAAACTTGCAGGCACAATAAAATGCTTTTTAACATAACAATTTAACTTCAACACCGGATAATGCAAGTTCAGCCAAGCTGTAACTTTTTTTTATGGTCGTTTAAAAATAAAATATATCAATTGATCATTTTAATGATTTACTGTATTTTAATTATTACTCTGTTTTTAATTTGTTGGCTATATGTATTTTAATTTTTGTAAAATTCAATCAATAATGATTATCATTGTTGTAACACCTGTTATCAGATCGCCTCAGCATTCAACGGTCCTCGAGCTCGCTGCCCAGTACGAAGCTGATTCTCCACGCTCGAAGAAAGGAGCAAACTCAGTGGTCGATCCTGCTTTATTATCCGTTGCTGAAAAGTAATTTTTTTTAAATTTTATTATATAATGAAACCTCTATAAAATTCAACATGAAGGTTCCTTTTAAAAAATTTGATGTATAAAAAAGATTGCTATGTTTCATACTAAAAACAATTTAGTGGTAGGAGATGGTCCGAGGTGGGGGTCATGGAAAAAAAATTTAATAGTGGAAAACTATTATATTTTAAGGCAACTATGAAAGTCTTAATCTTTTAAGAGTTTTTTTTTTTTTTTTATGACTGCCTCCTTATCTCCTTCAATATTATACAACAGTAAACTATTGAGTACTCTATGAAAATAATTAATTTTTTTATTTTAGGTTGACAGTTGTAAAAAAATTAATTTTTTAGATTACTTCATTTCAATGTTGCTTTATCAATTCAATACTATCTATTTGAAGTGTTAAAATTGTTTCTACTCTATATTTTAAAACTTAAAAAATGTTCTAATGATCAAATCACAGTTTTTATAAATTGTTGATATTCTAGTTACCTTGTTTTTTCTTAACATAATAATTTTTTATCCCACTTATAATTTATTATATTAAGTTAAACTTGGTAGATTAGGACAATTTTTTAATTAAATAAATGCATCTATATAATAAGCACCTTATGCTGATTTAAGTTTTATACAACTAATTTGTAAAGTCAATAAAACTTACGTATAAATTATAAACTCTGCTAAATATATAAATGTTAAATTATTTAAGTTCAAGTTAAATATAATCATTATAAGTTTCACTTATATAATCATTCATAAGATGAATGAAAAAAAAAGTGTGCATGTAGTTGACATACGTTCATAATTATCTTTAACTAAAAAACTAACTCTTTATAAAGTTTTACTTAAATCAATTTGGACTTACGGCATAGAACTGTTGGATTTTGCTAAAACTTCCAACATTAAAAAAGTTCAGTCCTTTCAGTCAAAAGTATTGCGAAGGATAGTTGACGCAGGATAGTTTTATGTCACAAATGATACACATATGTATAAACTACATAAAGACTTAAACGTACCTACAATTTTAGATACTGTAAAAGAGAACTGCAATAACTTTCACCAAAGACTGACCTACAACATGAATCTCTTGACAGAAATTCTTCATCATACAAGATACCCGTATAGCCCACTACGACGGTTACGTAGGCATTGGCCAAGAGACCTACTGATCTGATTTATATCCCGGACGTGATGGAAAGCTGTGAAGCTGCCAAAAAATTTGCTCATTGCAAATAAATTTGCAGATTGCAAATTTAATCTCAAAGTTCAACATTTTTGTTAATAAATAAATAAACAAGTTTCGCAGGGAATATTTATTAAGGGATCCAACTCAAGTGAGGTAGGATTTACCCCAGGAGGCTCGATTCATCAGTATATTTAATTAATTATAGATATAAATTTTAGATTTTTTTCTTTTGTTGCTGTAATTTTCCATACCATTTCACCTACTATTAAATTTCTTAAAACTTAGTAATTCTTTTGTTGTAAAAATTTGCAATAATAAATGATTATTTCATTCTATTTTTTTTTTAAAAAAAGGTGTTCTATATTTTACAGGAAGAGAGTATTTGAAAGAAATCAAGGTGCACTACCTATGCCTCAACAGTTTCCAAGGAAGCGTGATTTGAGCCCACCCAAACGATTGCCACCAAAAATAGTAGTATCGCAGGAGGTTAGACCAGAGATCAATAGTAGCCCCGTTACCGTGAAGGACAGCGTGAAGCAAGCGATGATTGAGAGGTTTCAGGAGTTAGAGGCTCTGAGACATCGTTGGGACAGGAATAAGGCCATTTCAACCGAACAAGTAATAACTTTATTTGATAACGTTTCTTTCTTGTTAAAGAGTTGATATTAGTTATATTTTTCTTCATTTACAACCAAGCAGGAAAATATAGTGTTCTTTTTGTTTTGTCTTTAATCACAATAGGAGAAAAGACTTTTCAGAATAACAAAATGATCATTAGTATTATTCTTTTCTCTTTTATTGCACAGTTAACTCTTTCTTTTTAGATTTTGAAATTTTCTTTTCCCTCCTAGTGTAATTATTTTTACTTGCCTATATGTGAAATATTTAGTTAGCGAGAGTATTGCAATCATGAAAATTTTCAAATCTGAGTTTTCAACAAAAATACATGATTTGATGGCTAATGAGTCCAAATAACCAAGTCCCACGATATGGTCTGTCTGTCTGTGTGCGTGCGTGGGTGTACAGTCTAGCTCAAAAACGAAAAGTCGTATAAAAGTGAAATTGTATATTTAAGGTTTGTATATACATGGGATGTTACTGCAACTTTTTCGTCAAAATTGGTTAACTTTCGTTTGGTCTTAAATGGCCAATTTTCAGTATTTATTCCTCTAAAGTATCTTTAATTTTTTTTTTAAACCCCAACAATGGTTGGTTTTGAAATCAGTTGTAACTTTTATATGTATATTTAAAGGTTAAATTAATGTGTGCTATAAAATTATTTTATGTTGAATGAGTGTATTGACGGAACCCAACCCAAAAAGTACTTTTTAGAGTTTTTACAATATTTTTTGTATTAAATAACTTGTATTTGTAAGACACGTTTTGTTTCTTTCATGCATAACAAGCAACACTACAATAAATAAATACTGGTTATATAGTTTTTCTTATTTTTTGTATATAAATATTTCAATTTTAAATTTGATGTTTTTAATATCTTTTTATTGCTATATAAAACCATGTCATATAGTCATATTTTTTTACCTTTATTTTTTATAATTGTTATATTAAGTAAATTCCTTTAGATACCCACTGTGTCATGGAACATGGGGCAGAGCCCTAAATCGTTGCGCATATTACCAAAAATAAAATAATTTCATTAAAAGGAAAGAGAAACCAACTAAAGAAAAACTGTTATTTTTTTTATAATTTTCATTTCTAATTCTGAAATTTTAAAACCTAATTTATTTGCTATCTACTGTTATTTATTGTCATTACATCACGTATTGCATTTCTAGAATCCATCAGAAGATGAAACAACAGAAGAAGAAGCAAGCCCGCAGATCCCACCTCCTCCTCCCCTGCCTGTGGATTCTTATTCTTTAAAAGAACAATCACCACCTCCGAAGCCTATGAATTCTTACTCTCTAAAAGAAAGATCACCTCGTACCCCATCACCACCACAGATCAAGATGGGAGTGAGCTCTCCTGTTGGCAGAAGGAGTCCTCCATGTCAACTTCCTAGGGTGCTCAGCGTTAGGGAAAAAGCAAACCCTTCTAGAGGTGAGTGAAATGAGAAATTAAGAAAATATAACATATTTGCTTACTAAAGTTTGACCTCCCATTTTGAAAATAATTTTTATTTAATGACTGCTGATAAAACATCAATTTACAAAAATATGAATATTTCAATTCAAACATGCCTAAATGAAGAGGTATAGCATTATAATATCTTTAAAATTTATGAAAAATCTTTTAAATTTTTTAAGGAAATTGTTGATTAGTAGCTGAATAAAATCAATGGAACATCTCAGTTTTAAAATTTCAATATATCATATTTTAAAATAAAATATTGTAATGCTATTTATCAATAGAATACCACATATAAGCATTGTTCTTATAATTTATTGTATATTTTTAATTCATTTTGTATACTTCACACGGCAACCCACTGGTCTCATCTATTTTTACCTCCTTCACTGACGGTGTTATCTCGAAGGGTAAAGATCAAGTCAAGCGCCCCTCTGCCCCACTCTCTTACTGGCAATCTGAGAAGACGACCTGATTCTGAGCCTGGCATTGTTAACAGGCTACCCAACTTGGCAGACCAACAGCCAATCGGCTATATATATTTGGACTTGAGGCGGAAATAGGCGCCAATAGCGTGAAGCTTCATCATTTACAAAGTTGTTCCATCATTTCTGGTTTTCTTGCATCCCTAAAATTAAATAAACAAAATTAATAATAATAACAGGTCATATTTCATGTACAGGGCCCTCCATTATTATACAAGCCTGTTTGATTTCTATTTCCAATATTTATATGTTTGAATTGATTTATTATATTCAGTAATCTTGTTTTTCCTCTACCAATTCTTTTCTTCAAAATTATTTTTAAAATGGGAGTTCAACCTTTAATAAGCCATATTTGACTTATTCCTAATCTGTCTAGTTCCAAGAGACAATGGATTTTTTCTTTTAATCATTTTAAAAATAGTTCAATAGTTTGAACCTAAAATATATATATTGACTAATACTATTTAAGAAAAAATTTAATTATTTAAGTTGATCTTTTAATATTGAATTAATTCAGAGTTTTTTAATATTGAATTTATTTATTATTTGTAAAAACTTTATTATCATAGTATATTTATATATTGTTACAATAAAGTTTAAAATATTATATTTTAGTATTATTTATTGTTTTCATGACTAATATTGAATAATGTCTTGTCAGTAATAATGTTAATTAAGGTTAAAATAACTAAACCTTTAATTTTTAATTCATTAAAATTATGTGTTATTTTTTTTTCTTGTTTTGAACAAATCATGTAAATTCTGATTAGATTTTGACCAAAATATTCTTGCTGGATCGGATCGCATGGTGACCAATACAAGTTTCCAAGAGAATATTTAGTTTTGTGTTAGAAATTAGAAATCATTATAAATTATGAAAAGAAGGTTATTTGCAATGAAACACAACTTTTTTTCAACTTGTAATATTTGAAACTTTATCTCTTAAAAAGTTGTGTTTGGTTGTATTATAATTTATATTACAATATCTAGATAATTGGTTGGGCATTCTAACTAGTATCAAGCATTGAAGTTTTTTATTATTATTATTGTTTAAAAATGGATCTAATAACTTTTGCAGGGCAGCATTATCCGGAAGTAAAGAAGATAAAAGTGTCGCCTCCAAAACCTGGTCGCCTTTACCCTTCCATATCTGACATTGAGACTGAATCTGAAGTACCTGAGACAGATTTAGAAACAATTGACGAAGAATAGTAAGAAATATATATATATATATTTATTGATATACCTATTAAATGTCGTTTCTCTACAGTTAAACTGAATAAACTATCTTAAAAATCTGTAACGTAGCATGTGAATAGATATATTGGTCATTGGAACATTATGAGGATTTATCAAATATAAAAGGTTATTTTTTTATTTTTTTTAATTAAAAAAAGTTATTCTGGAATTAGATCCCTTAAAAAAAAAAAAGGAGGTACTAAAACCAATGAAGAAGGGTCTTGGGTTCAGTATTGTTTCAAGGCCAACGGTTGTGCAGCGAGGTGATCAGGCTTGGATCATGCTGAACTGGCAAGCTTTCCTCATTATTTAATTAAGAGTACCCACTTTATAGAGACTGGGTATAACCCAGAAGGATCTTCCGAACCCAGGACCTTGAGCATTGGGAGTCATTTCTTACCCACCCACTGAGCAACCCCGGTCCTAGAAGAGGAAACATTACAGTTCGAAAACTACTAACAGTGTATTCATTCGCCACTGTAAAATGTTAAAATGTTTCAGCAAATTATTAACTTATGTTCTTGAAGATAAATAACATCTGGTTCATATTCTTATTATTCAAAATCCAAAATCATCTTGAATATTATAAGTTGTATTATTAACTGTTATTCTCTTATTCTCTTCGGATCAACTTCAGTCTTAAATTAAAATTTCATGATAAGAGCTTCACTGCTATTTCAGCTTATGCCAAAATCTTATACAGTGTCACCCTTTGGGTGGGGGAACTGGAACGATTGCAAAAGGGATACCGGCCAATCTTCAGAGGCACTTGCCATTTGTCAGAAATTAAGGGGAAAAATGTATTAAAATAATTAATTTTAGCCTATCAATAAAGAAACTATTACAGAAATGTGAAATAAAATAAAATTAAAATATTATGTTATATAAAACAGCTAAGGAAATAAAATTTAATGTTTTAATGGAGGTTATTATTACCCAGGGGCGCCGAATGTCTAAGGCCAGCACTGATCTCTTTTCTAGACAAACTACTCTATAAAATCTTGATACGGCCAGTTTTACTCTGGTTGTGAGACATGGAGGAATGGAGGAAACCATGTTGATGATGATTATTATTATCTTGTTGCTTCTATTACTCTCTTGTAAATACAAAATAAAATGTATATTGTAAATATCTAAGAAGGTACAAATAAAGGATATTATTATTATCTCTCAGTACTACCACCCAAAAATTGGCTGATAAGAGAGTTTAGTTGTTTTTGCCTATCCAGGGGAATTCCTCGTTTATTATTTCCTTGGTGTCTCTATTACTCAGATTATTTCATCGATTCGTGACCGAACAAATTATTAACTTATGTTCTTGAAGATAAATAACATCTGGTTCACATTCTTATTATTCAAAGCTTATTTTGAAATTAAAAATCAGAGTCAAGTTAGCAATTTCATCAAATATGTTTTGCTAATCCAATATTCTTTTCATTAGCATGGATGAGGATGAACAAGGTGGATCTTCTTACTCGGACTCTTCCAACTTGGAGACAAGCCATAGTTCTCTGTCAAGCTTTGGTAAAGAAATAGTGAGACAAGCTTCCAGAACCAATCTTAAGGTAAAAAGTTTATTTTGTTCTTTATTAGTTTGAATTTTCTTTGCATTGAATACATGATTCAATTTTTCAATGGAAATTGGAAATTTATTTAAAAAATAAATCTAAAATATTTTTATAATTAATTTATATTAACCCGTGATTGAAACAAACAATCAATCAGGATTGTTAAAATCAGCAGTCTACAAACTTTTTGGCCTGCTGCTTATATTATAATGACTTCACTCAATCATTTAGTAAGTGGGTCATGTTTTGCGATGACAAAAAATACCGATATTGAAAGTCAAACGTGAATGTTATAGAGATGTCAGTATAAAAACACCTATTTTTTAAAATTTATTTTAGCCCTGAAGAGCAGTTTAAGAACTTTTTATAAATATTTTTAAATACATCTCATCGTCAATGTATATTGTTGGTTCATCGAACAATCATTGTTTGGAGACTCCTGGTTTAAATTAAAATAAATTGACAATCAGCTTAAAAGGGATCCTTCTACTTATTATATATATATATATATTTTTTTTTTCATAAATTCAGTGTAAAGTGGGTGCCGTAGAAATAAACTTTAAATATATTAGTTTTTAGTTAGACCAATGTATAATTTATCATTAGTTAATGGGACACCATTTGAATTTTCAATAATCGTTCATCATTAATTATTTAATGATGATTTTTATAAAAGTTAGTAACTTAAATTCTTCCTATATCTTTGTTGCCTAAGGTTTACCTATCTTTTCTCATGATTATGATTTTTTTATAGCGTCCATCGCATTCATTAGAAGCATCAAGTTCGTCAGATAATGAGTCGAAAATCCTCAAAGAAATGGATGATTTGCTTGATGAAGCTCTTGGATCACCTTCTCCTAAAAGAACAAGAGATTCAGCTTCATACAAAGTAACTTTTTATATTATTATGTTATTTAAACTTGTATTAGTTTTGAATATTTTAAATTTTTTAAAATTTGAATACGAGTCTGGTTTCAAATGTGTGGGGTTAGAGTTAAATGTAGAGAGAATGTTCCTGTTGAAAGAGAAAGAGGCACTCATCCTGAAGGAACTCACAGAGAAAAATTCCAGCACTGTTTCACACAATAAAAGATTTCGCTTAGAGAGGGTTATAAGGATAGAGATGTTTTTATTGAAAGCTATAGTATATAGTAAGTAAATGAAAAAATGAATTATCAGAGGAAAATTCATTAAAAAAACAAGTTAGCACCAGTAAAGAGGATAAAAACAAAAAAAAAAGTTCGTCACAGTTGTTCTTTTCTCCCTACCACTACGGTTGATGTTATTCTCTTTCGCAATTAATGCTTAAACTCAAGCTGACGTATTGAAAACGAAATGCTCTTAAACACAGCTGTCAGCATAAACATAAAAAGGAAATGACTGAACTGCTTTAGAAGAAAAATTTTAAATATTTTCAGAAAGTTTGTTTCCTAAATATGTTGGAAGATTGCAAAAGGTTTGTGGATATTATAGTGTTTTGTGTTAATGGCCACTGGGGCCCATGCTCTCACCATTGAGATCCACAAGCAAGCTTGTTTTTTGTTAAAATTTCCAAAAATAATCAAAATATTTTTTGTATATGAGGTACCTAAGAAATAACTACCAATGATAAAAATTAAAAAAAAAAAAAAAAAAAATTTAATATCCCTATGGACAATGGCTGGCGTATAACCCACTCTGTTTTTTTTTTTTTTTTTTTTTTATTAAATTACTTTTAAAACGTATTAAAACTATTACTTTTAATGATGAAAAGCAGTATATTACAACTTTTGAGAGAAATTTGGTCCACGGAGAAAGTTTCACTCGAATGGCTTGGTTGTTAAAAGGACGCATTGATAGTATACTTTACAATAAGGTTCAAAACATAATTTTCTCATTTTTTCGTTATTGTATTATTACTCACAATATAAATAATCAATGAAAGATATTGTTGCTCTTTCATTGTTAGTCTTTTACATTATGATTTATTTGTTAGTTGCTTTGTTAAATGAAATTTTATTATTGTGGTTTATTAAAATTGATATATTTTTATAATTTCATTACACTATAAATATATTAATGGTGATGGATAATGTTTATGTTTTAGCAGGACACAAACTCCATATCTGAAACATGTTCTACTACCAGCTTTGAATTCTCGGATGCTGAAAATCTCCAGGCGAAAGCGATGTGCTCATCTGAATCAAGCTCAGATGCTAATGAACCTAAGACTCCCCTAATGTATAGCGTTTCACTCTACAGGAAGCAGCGGCAACAGGTATTTACCAGAATGCCATCTTTTAAAAAATAATTTATATCGTGTCTATCAGGTCTGGTATAACTGGAAAAGTTAGGACATTTTACTTGCTTGAGAATGCAAATTCGCCGTATTAGTAACTGTCCGTTGTATTGTGTTTCCAAAAGTATGAATTTTTTTCTGTTTAAAGATATTGAACAAGAGGCTAGCTTTTATAATAATATCTGTTGTCAAATACCTGTTTTAAGTTTTACTTATCTTCTACTTGGTGTTATAGGAAACAAGCAATTTTAGCAAGACCAAACTATTCGCTCCAAAAATACCTTTTAGCTTATCGATTAAACATATTTCATTCAATAATATGTCATCTCGGGATCTTGCTGAATAATTTATGCCATCAAACTTAAAAATTAGTCCAGTTTAAAATAACTTTTAAAATTTAAAAAAATATATATATATTAATAAATTCTTTATTTTGATATCTGCATCAGAATACTAATTTGATTAGTATTTTTAAATTTATAATCATAAAAGAGCTACTTTGTAAATGCTTTCAATTATTTTATAGTGAAATAACCAAAAATAAAATAAAGAATATTTACTTATATTTATTGGGTTGGCAAATAAGTCCTTTCGCTTTTTCAGGCTGAAAAAGAACTCAATGTATTATAGACATAAAATTTATTTTAATCTACAATATATTGACCATTTAATATGACTTTTTTTTCATCTTTCTACTAACTGCATAATGCCATGTTCATAGAATGTCTGGAGTTTATTGTTAAAAAAACTCATCCAAGTGGTTTTTGATGTCCTCTTTTGGAATTTCTTTCCATTCATGGAGTTGTGCAGAGATAGGAATGTGTGGTAGTCGCTTGGAGCTAGGTCAGTTGAATAGAGAGGGTGGGGCAAAAGGTCTCATCCAAGGCTTAATAATTCATTGCTAGAGACCAATGGGGTGTGACGCCTTGCGTTGTTTTGGTGGAACACTAAACCCTTCCGATCATTCATAACTCTTCAAGCTGTTCTCCAAATTCGATGTTATTATATCCCTTGAAAAGCTGAATTATTGCTCTTCAAAGTCATATGAATGGTTTTTTTTATTTAATGCTTACGTAAGGAATAAATAAACAAAAACACCTTATAGGTTTTTATTTTTCATTTCCATTTTTAGTTTGTTTGCGAAGGTTCTGTTGATGTCATTCTGTGTGATTTATGTGGCCCTACATTCCTGCTAAATTTCTTGTAGATAGCTAAAGTCGAATTGAAGTTATAAATATTTTTTGTGATTTTCCAAAAAAAAATCATGTGAGGGACCCAAACATTAAACCTGGAAACATAGCCGAGCTTGTGCAAATGGTTTTCTACGCTTGTGTGCGATGCATTCAGGGCCGTAGCAATCTCTCGCACTGATGGGTATTATTTTGATCAGCAATGGCCATTATATTGCTCGTTTCAATTTCATGTGGGCGACCAGACCGTTGAGCACCCACTGATGTCAAAATTTCCTGAATGAAATTTGGCAAACCAATTTTTACTCGGTTAAGGCATCATCTCCATAAACATTGCAAATTTTTCTATGAGCTGTAGCACGCTTACCTTTTTTTAAAATGATACAACAAAATATGCCGATAATGAACAATATTTTCTTCCATATTCACAGTGCAATAGCAAACAATACTAAACTTTTTTTTTTCTTAATGATATTTACAACTATGTTAAAGAAATACATTTAATAAATTTGAACATATGGATATAATGATGTGAAAACACTTGTTGAGAAACTACCCAATGTTAGCACCCTAGTGATATGTCTACATTAGGAGATCAAGGGGCCATCTTATTTTCAGACGCCTCGGAGGGTTACTAGGAATTGAAGAGAAAGCAATGTTAGAAACGAGAGGGTTGGAATGATTTTGAAGTTTATTATGGAAGGATAGGTATCTGGATTGGGCCAGATCTGAAACATAAAGGTCATTATAGATGGTTTTATTTGTAACAAAGTAGGGAGCATGAAGGATTTTGGATTGTAAGGATTGGATACGAGAGGAATTCAATGGTTTAGTGGAGCCCCATACCTCAACTACGTAAGTCCAAATAGGCCTTATTATAATCATGTATATGAGTCTTTTGTAATTAATTGGAAGTGTAGAATGTTTGTCTAGTAAGTGCTGAAGTAACTTGAAACGTCAAGCGGTTTCTTGTTATTTCAGTTTGGCATGATCAATAATGTTATTAATGTCAAAACTCAATAATTAAAGAAATGAGAAAGTGTATTTAAACGGGGCCGAGCGGGTTAACATGTGTGCAAAATGTGTGTTCCTGGTAATCAGATGATTGACAAACTAAAGTTTACAGATATAAAATAATTAATTATTTCGCGTCCGGGTGCTGGAGAGGCTTTTAACTCTGGTATTAATCCCCTGCCATGGAAAGATTCCTGTATAGCCTGAAAGGCAAGCTATAACAGTAAAAGAATTTCTCCGTTATTTTTTCTATGACTTAAAAATCTGAAGAGAAATGTATTTTCTTTGTTTAATTCATAATTTTATATTATTTATGAAGGCCTTGCTTTATTTGTAATGTTTTTTCTTTCAGTTATCAACCCCTATCAGGAAGGAGATCAGAAGAGAAGAAGTCATCTTGGATGATGAACCGCAATCATGCAAACTGTCACCTAAATCTGAAGAGAAATTGGCCCAAGAAAAAGTCAAGGAACTTACTGTGGAGGTACATCTATGAACACTCATAATTAATTAACTTGACAAATTAAATAAGAACAAACAAAATTAATAAGAATTCTGCTCACTTGAAGAAGTATGACGTATCACTAGGCTTTACAAAGAAAGAAAGTAAAAGAACATCTTAAAACTGGAACATATTTTGAATATATATATATATATATATATATATATATATATATATATATATATATATATATATATATATATACAATTATATATTTCATTGTTTTATGTTATTTATGAAAAGATTTGTAATTTTATCCCATTGACAATTTTTTTTTTCTTCTTTGTTCCTAAGATATGTTATATAGTTGTGTTCTCTAGTTTCCAGTGTAGAAGAATATTTTTGTTTTTTTAAACATAAACTATAGTTTTGTTTAAGATATTTGTGGATAATATGACAACTAAATTACTGGTCAAAGATATCTCGTCACTTTTAATAATCAACTAGAAACTGTATTGGTTGAATAGCGAATGGACTTTGAAAGGCTGGAATATGCACCACCCTGATTCCAGCTTTATTTAAGAACTCAGACATTACTTAAGTTAATTGAGGATGAGGCCTTGCGTTATCAAGCAGCGACACAAAATCACCCAATCGATGAATTAAAAACCTACCACTACAAAACCCATTAAGGGTCCAGGGTTCTGTATTTGGTTGTGCTGGGGGGTGTGCTTAACTCTTCACATTTTTTTCCTTAATCTATTATTTGATTAAGAGTACCTACTCTATGGAGGTTGGATGGTCACTGATTCCAAAGGCCGTCCACGGCTGATGTAACAGAATAAATAATTGCCTGTCATCAGCTGGATCCAAACTCAGAATCTTGAGCATAGAAAGTCAGTGCATTACCCACTGTGCTATCTGGCAGCATTAATACTACGAATAATGAGTAACTCATTACAAATTTCACCCCTTACCATCACTACTGAGCCTCTATGGTAACTTACTCTAGGGAATACATTGCATGTTTAATATCTTTCATCTGTTCTTTTCTTTGTTTTCTCCCTTCATCAGTTGAGCTTTAAGTGAATCTTGGCTCATCCATGTTTAATATAATTGACTAGTCTTTATTTGTTTATTCAATATGTTCTGAGATAACTAAATTCTCACTTAGTTTGTTTTAGAACAAAGTGGAGAGACCACCAGTCTTATAGAATTTATTTAACCTCTTTACAACTGTTTTTTTATTCCTTTTTGTTTTTTAATATTTAAACCTCAGACCGTTTGAATTGAATAAATCAATCCTATTATAAAATATGGTTGACCTTACCCAGCTCATCTTGTATGGTTGACTGCTTATAATGCCTAGGGTTCTGGTAATGTTGCATTGGCTGATCAAATGAATCACCATCTCTTGCATTAAATCTTGTGTATAGGGTTTTGTTTATTAATTTTGAATGAATAAAAATGACCTTTGAAGATATACCCTAAACTAAAGAAAACAATTGACAGAAGAAGAAATCAATAACCTAGCGAATAACATGAAGAGTATACCGAAAGAATTAATTTCTCTTGAATAAAAATAAAAGGGTAAGAAATAATAAACAGCTCATTGTACCTAACAACTGTAAATAAATAAAAGTATGTCTAAATTTGACATTGGCAAAATTTTATATTTAAAACACAAGTGATGTAATATTTTTGTCTAGCAGTTTATCTAAGGACTAATTGTATTTATTTATCAATCACTTCTCACTCAGCAGAAATAATATAATTATTAATGATATTTAAACATGGCTTTGATAAAATAATTTTGTATCCACAGATGCAGAGGCAGATAGAGACAGTTTCCCAAGCTAGTAAGGCCCTCAATTTATGTCTGTCAACACCTGGCTTCATGGGATCAACTGCGGAGGTAGAAGCTCAGAAGCTGCTGCTAGTAGCCAGTGAGTGAGAAATTGTCTTATTAATTTGTACTCTAGTATAGGTAATCCCTAAGTGTAATGATTATCAAATCACGGAGTATAGCTTTGTATTGCAGCTTTAGGTATATTATCTTAATTCAAAAGTAATTGTTTTGTATCAATAATGCTTTGTCAAGATAAAATATTTATGAGTTTTATTGTTAATTTTTATTATAATTTTAATAAAATAATAATAAGGCTTAGCGAACCCGAAGGTTCGATGCCAATACCATCAATCGATCTCCACATTCTTCTACCCACCAGGCTCTCTCTAAATCCAACCCCACCAAATTAGCCTTAACGCAATCCTACCCACTTTCACTTTGGTCTACCCCTCGGATGCTTGCCAGTCGGTACAGCGCATATTAACTTTTTAGACATTTTTTGTTACTAAGCCCACCGATTTTACAAGGCTATTTTATTCGCCTCAATTATATTAACCAAGTACAATTCAGCGTTGTGTAACTGCCTAAATTCTGTGATTGACTCGTCCTTTTTCAGTCCGAATATTCTGCACAATAGTTTATTTTCAAAAATCTTAAGACGTTGCTCATCTCATAATGTAAGCAGCCACGTTTTGCATCGATAAAGAACCGTAGGTAGGATAATGGTTTTGTAAATTCTAATTTTTAGATTTCGTTACAGGAGGCGAGAACTAAGTAGTTCTGACAAAGAGGATTTCCTGCCTTCAGCCTAACCTTAATATCCTCTTCAATTTTCGTTGTTCTAATTATTGAAGACCCTAGGTTCTGTAAAATTCTGTACATGTTCAAACACATTCCCTTCTATATCGATTTCGAAATTGTCACTGTTTTTGTAGCTAACCATATATTTTGTCTTATCCGTATTTATCTCAAGTCATAGTTCTTTACAGGTTTTCATCAACGTTGTATTTAATTTTATTGTTTCCATGTCTTCGCTTATCAGTATCAAATCATCAGCATACCCAACCACGGATATTGTTCCACCCAGGTTCAAACCTTATTCGGTATGTATCAACTCTCTAATATCATTTTATAATGTCAAATTAAATAAGACAGTTGAAAGAGAATCACCTTGTTTTAAACCCCGAACGTACTTCAAATTTCTCGGATAAATAATAACCGATTCTAACTTTATTGAGTGTTTCCGTCAAGCACATCCTAACTAGATTCACTAATTTTTTTGGATCCTCTGCTTGATTAAAATTATATTATAATTTTTACCATTACTAATTATAGTATCCATACAGCAGTTATAATAATTTGTTTTATGGTGATATTATAGGTGCACGTTGGACTTCCTTAAAACAAGAAATAGAGCGCCTGAGAATTGAGAAACGTTTGCGTTCTGGAGACTGTGAATTGGACCTTGGAGACATCAACATTCAATCGATTAGTGTGCCCTTGAAATCATGCATAGCTTCACGGGATCAATCATCAGTCCATTTAGTTTGCTTGGTCCGCTCTGGCTATGTTGTTCTGCAGACAGAGGTAGTTGCTTTGGACAAAACGTCCATCAGGAATGGCCGTATCTCTTTCCAGAAGATACTCAATCTTGTAAACCTCTATTCCGACTTCACCGTCTCAGTTGAAATATATGGTTTCATTGCCCAGCACCCTGCAGAATTTGTCTCAGATTACAAGCATAGGACCACTCCTAGCAAAAAGGTACATAATTTTAAATTATTTTTTGATATTCGTATTATAACTGAAATTGGTCTGATTCTCTATGTTATAGCTTGTGAGTAGCATAGCCAGGCTTTTATCCCATTTTCCATCCATGTTCTAAAAGCTTGGGTTTACAACAAAATTATAACGACATGAATATTATGAGCACATACATATATAAAAGTTTCATTTGTTCATAAGCCTTTAATAACGTAGTTGTGTTATATTTTTATTAAAGAAAATGAAATATATTGTTTTGAATATGGACTCCTTGTGCATTATTGATTATTGAATTGATGTTAATATAAAAAAAATCTGGTGCCCGCAATAAACAACTTTCACTTACTGTTTTACTTTGAATAGAAATTATTTTCTGACAATATTAGGCTGTTATAAAATTTTTGAAGTACACTTTTTACGGACTTATAGCTTAAAGCTTACAGATAATAAATCCTTAAGACCATTAAAATTACTAAAAGTCTATTTATTATATCGACGGTTGGCAATAAAAATCTAGTTACTCCCTCTGCTTTTATAAACCACACAACTACAGTCTCTGAGTCTTTCAGTTGATAGGATAACAGGACAGGTTGAAATTGGAGTTAGTCGTTCTGTCAACCGAAAGGCTCATATATGCCCTGAGAGAGATTTAAAAGTATGTCTCAATATTTAACCTACATATGATTATGGATTGTAGAACTACTATTTATTAAACTGTTATTTTCCAATGTAAAGTTTACCAAAATGAAAGTACGAGATTTTAATTGCCTGCCATTGGTAGGTCAAAAGTTGTCTCACTAATTGTAAGTGGATAATGTTGGGATTTCACAAAAGGAAAATTCATCAAATTATTCACTACTTTAATTTTGTGAAAGCTTTCTTGTTGATTTTTTGGAATGAACTGCCGATAAATAACTGATTATTTAAATATAACATCATATTTAGACTTATTAAACTAAATTTAATATATTTAAGGTTATCGACATTACCATGAAATAGTATTTTAAACAATGGCATTGGCTTGATTCGGTGGATTTAAAAATTTTTTTTCAAGCTTTTAAAACAATTTAAAAGTTTACATTTGGTAAGAAAATTTCATTTAATTTCCTTGGAAATTTATCATTTAAGTTAAATACGTTAGTTTTCTGAAATTATATTTTTTTTTTTTTTGTCACTCTCCATTACCTTCTACATCTTTATTTATTTCATGTTATTTTTTTCTAGAATTTTCCGCTTTCCAACGATATATTAATATGTATACCTTCTGACTATTATTTTCGGAGATTCATTTTCAACCTGGATAAGCCTTTTTATTTTTTTCTCCAGTTTCCAATTATCATATTCTTTCAAACTTCATATTTAGCCATATTTTATAGTTACTGTCAATAAAAGAGAGTTAATTTTTTTAAATAAACCATATTAAAGGTACTTTAGAGGAAGACGTATACCAACATTGCGCATTTAAGCCCTATAAAGTTACATCAATGGAGCTAAGACCTAAACGATATTAAAGACCACTTAATTATACAATGATACGTCGAGTTTAATCAAAATCGTTAGAGCCGTTTTTGAGAAAATTGTAAAAATGTGTTTCTCCGTTGATACGAAGTGGCACTTCCGGTTAGCCGATTTTAAGGAAAAAGTTGCCGTAACATCTAAGGCATATACCTATCTTAAATATCAGTTTCGTGTGACTTTTTGTTTTTTAGCTTGACTGTTAACATACAGATACACGAGTCATTTTACTAGATTTGGTTATTTGGACTCAAAACGTGTATTTTCGTTGAAAACTCATTCGAAAATTTTCATGATCGCAATACTTTCCCTTACTATATATTGCATAAATAGATAAGTGAAAGTAAAAAATCAATCTATTCTATTTCGAAGGTTATGAAATTGTTTTAAAACTTCGTCGTGGATATATAAAGTACATATTTTAACCTAAGTGCTCACACAGTTGATCATTTAGTCACTGGTGATAATTTTGTTGATCATCCAATCATCCAACCTATAAGTGGACCACACGTCAGTGTTTATAGCTATTTAATTATTGTTTTTGCCAATTTAACAAAGGAATTTTACAATTTTTGTAAGGGACATTTCATAAATCATGTCGCTGAACATAGAATTTTTTATTTAACTGAAGCCCAAAAAAAACTTTTTTATTTTAGGGATGTACAAAAACAATTTTTTTTTTTTAATATATTTTTTGTTATGTTAACCTTTTTGATTAAGATTGAATTGTATGGCAAATTTTTAGTTACCAATGCACGGACTGATGATTCAAAGAAACTTTAGTATCGGAACTATTCACCTATTCTAGCCTGAGATATGTTGCTATTATTGGGAGAAAATTCTGAATCAATTATACTTTTGCCTGAATTTGCTTCGGCTCTAAATATAGTAAACAATGTGAATATTCTAGTTTGTATAATAATTTCATTATGTACAATATTTTTAATCCAGGATAAAAATCGTTCTGCTGCTAAGAAGGCTAAGGACAAGATGATACCTATTGAATCTCCTGCAGGACCAAATGTTGTCAGGTAACTAATTTACTTATATACTGTAATACTAATGCATTTTTTTAAAGCTATTATAAAAATATACAAATTATTTAGTGAAATTCATCTTCTTTTTCGCCAAGCCCCTGCCTACCGCTGTTGAAGTGTTACGAGTTTCCTTACTGATCCTGGACTATTGATCTATCTCTTTCATGCCGGTTCTCTTCTCCTTCTCCAATCCATTTGCCTGCTTGCAAATATCTTATTCCTTCCTCCCTTCTTCCTCTTGGCCGATGACTATCCACCTGTGTCTCATAGATTGCCCTGGCTATTCTATTTTCATCCATTCTAGTGACATGTACATACCATATCAGAGTTGATTTTTCTTAATCACTATTTATACATGTTTTACATTGAGGTTCATCCTTATTGTAGTATTACTGATTCGATTACACCTTGTTATACCTTCAATTCTCCGAATGAACCTCAGTCTCAGAACTCTGCAGTGACTCTTGTGCTTAGTCGTAAGTGTCCAAGATTCTCTGGAATTATCAATATCGGGATGAAGATGTTTTTGCACATAGCCACCTTTGTTCCTGTTGATATTTCTCTCCTGTTAGAATGAATCCCCTTTTAACAGCATTGAAAAACTGTTCTTTCTCTGATCTTCGCATCAGGTCAGGTATAGGTATGCTTTTAGATATTTAAAATTAAACATTTGTTCAGACTATACGTAAGTTATGATTCCAATCCTCATTTCTTTTGTTGTTTCTTCATTTGCTTGCATGTTTATTTTTATAAGCTTGTCTTTCAGGATCAACATGTCCTACCATCTTTCCCGAAACCACTAGGTCGTCAGGTTAATCCATCATGTTATAACTCACTGGATTTAGATTTCAGTAGCCAAAATGAAGATCTCTCATTTTAGGTTTGGCTGATACAATAGCTCTATCATATACCACTGATTGTTTTGAATTCCGCAGAAGTGCGATTTTATGTTCTCACGACATTCCTTTTTTTTTTTTTACCGGCTTTCTATGGCTATTCTTAGTCTCTATGTTCTCTCCTAGCTCCTCCATGACCTTAGCTAAATTAGTAAAATTCATTTCAGCTTAAAAGAATGCTTGGTTTGAAATTACTTTTACCAGCATGAAGCATACTCCTTATTTATTAATTTTTTTTTACTGTTTTAAAAAAATAATCAAGATTGGTCTTTCTTGGAATGACTTTGTTAGAAGGCAATTCATTGTACACATACCTTAAATTTAAGTACACATATCTTAAAAACATGAACAGTAGTGATTGTTTCCTTAAGAATTTTTGAACAACATATCCATCATTACTTATGAAGTAGGAATGGTTAACTTGTGTTAAGCCTTAATTGGAAAATGGTGGTTGGTCAGTATCTTGTTACTGATGACTGCACTTGAGTTTCTCTTTTTTATCATTGAACATTTTTAAGTTTCTATTTTGATGCCAGCTGCACTTCTTTAATGTATTGTATGTTTTAGATCTTCAGCTTTTCAAATGTGGGGATTTGCAGTTTTCTCATTGCGTGAACTGAACAGGACTTCTTTCTCTCTCAGTAAGGTAAGTCAGTAAAATGTAGTAACATTTTAAAATTTAATGTAAAATTGTAAATAATTGATATATGAAAATGTTTTTTAAATTATTTAATGTATATATACTTATTGTTGATAGGTGCCATATACGTGTCCCCTTGAAGGGAATATTGAGATATCTATGATTTCATCGTTGCAGAGTCAGGTCAGTTAAAATTTATTTTTTTTAAAGATCATACTTATGATACTAATTACGGTTAATGTATTTATGTTTTATATTACTTATTAAGTTTTATATACTTAATAATAATAAGTGTTTTTGATGTTATTGTGTAATAGATACCAATTATTTTGTTTTTATAGATAGAGCACACTGGCTTCTTGACAGTCTTTGAGGATGTAGGTGGATTTGGTGCATGGAAAAGGCGCTGGTGTCAACTCAAAGGGTCATGTTTGGCTTTCTGGACTTATCCTGAGCAGTTTTGGGACGGAAAGGTAAATTAATGTAACAATTCTTTTTCCAAAAAAATGCACTGATTCGCTTTCATCAAAGAAACATGGTGGTGATTTTATGTACATATGCATTTTAAAAATTAATGCTGCAATCATTGTTGTCCAGGTTGCCGTTGACACAATTGATTTGGCAGCTGTGTCAACTGTAGAAGCTGCTCTTGCGCCGAGGGACGTCTGTGCCCGACCTCACACTATTCTACTTGAGTCGCAACTGAGAGGTTCTAATCTACAGGAGTCGCTAGTTGTCAAAAGGAGAGGAGACATGACAGTTCACAGGTTAGAATTGAAGACTTCTTCTCTATAATATATTTAATCGCTATCAAAGTTGTGTTTTAATAGCAGCATTTTAAAGTCTTCAAGCGAAATATATATATCAATGAATCCTCAGAACATGACTTATCAAGTCCATCGTATATTTTACCAATGAAAAGAAACTTACTAACTTATTATTAAACTTAATAGGAAACTTAATTATAAATAATAAATCATGTTGAAATTATACATATATAGATCAGTAAGTAATTCTACTTTTCTTAGCTGAACAGGCATTGCAATTCCTGAGTTTTTAACCTTTCTTCCATGTGTCTCTTTCCCTTACATGCCATCTTTTTTCTCGACTTTGTGCTCAAGTTATCTTACGATTGGAAAGCAAATGGGCATTTACGAGTTTTTAGTACCTAATTAAATAGACAACCTTCAGATTGAAAACAATTCAATTCCGAGAATTTTCATATATAAAATATTAGTAGGTTAAGATGAGATGAAGCTATTTATGAAGTTTCAGCGGCATGTTAATAATTTGATAAAAAGAGGTCTGTGGCACAGACTATATCTGCATAGCCAAGAAGTTTCATTAAATATTGTCGTGCTCATATTGCTTCTAACTCAGTTCTGTTAATGGCAACTTAACAGTTGTTTAAGAGAAGAATAGGTAGTGGTTCTCATAACCTGTGCCCAATCCCACCGTCATAAAAAGTGTCAGAGATACTTTCTCCGATATACCATAATACCTTCACTTAGCATTTTGTACTACATTTTGCCAGTTAATTTGGAATGAATTTCCATCTCTGCCATTCCTTTATACAGGTTTTTCTGTATGGCAGTATCATATACTGCCTTAAAATTTATGAATATCTTTCTGATTGGTTGATTTGATCTATTATGGATCTCTTACACCAAAAGCCTCCTTGATATTCACAAACATCTTATGCAAGATTAATAATATAGTTATGCGATCAAATATGACAATATTGAATTATCTTTCTCTCATTATACCTTTAATTTTAGCTCTCTTTGTGCTCGTTATTTGCTGGTCTATGGTGTTGTTAGATGATTATTTATTGAGGTTATTATGGAATTTGAATCTGTCTCAGGAATTATTTTCCATCTACGCAGATTATATTAATAAAGTGGGATTTTTTGCTTACTATCATATATTTTGTTTTAATGGTGTTTTATTAAATAGTTATTACTAATTATTTACTTAAACTAAGTTGTTAATTGTTTTATTCTTTTGATTTCCAGACATTTGTTAGCAGCTGATACACATGAAGAACGTTTGGCTTGGTGTAAACAGATCAATAAAGTACTTCATCTCCTGCGTACATGGAAAGTCAACTGTGCAACAGCCGTCTGAAACAGATGATAGATCATTACCTTCTGAAATTAACCATGACTTTATTTATTATTATTTTATATGCTTTATGTGAATGTATGTGTATCATTATTATAAACGTATCGATGAAATAACAGACCTTTGGTGGTGATAACTTGTAACAAAAAAAAAAAAAAAGGCCATGACCGAAGTATCTAAGATATACTTAAAAATTGAATTTCATTTGTACATATATTTATATATTTTTTTTAATTTTAATATTTTTATTGTAAATAAATTTATTAATGACATTTACTTTTTACAAATTCTATATAATATGTAAATATGATTTATAAATTTGTATTAATTTTTTAAATAATATATTTTACAAAAAAAATTAGATGATTGTTTTCTTAGCATTCCTAAATAAATTTATAAAATGTCTGATAGTGTTATAGCAAATATTCCTTGTGCCTTTCCGATTATTAATAATAATTTATTTAGATTCCTATATTGTTCTTCAAAAAGAGATGGAAGCCCATAACTTTAAAATTTGAATGAACTCATAAAAATATATGTATATGCAACTCACTCTATTGAGGTAATCTCTAGATGTTTTTTAACTTCACTAAAGGTGTCAACCATCCTGAAATAGAGGTCTAATTATTATGTTCCTTCTGTTATTGAAGACATAAAGATTTATCTTCTAAGAGGTTAATGCCTAGATCATTTTCCAGGTACCATTCTTTCAGTCCTTTGAGTTATCCTGATATTGTCTCAGGAAATTCAATCCCAATTATTCAGTGATATCATCAGCCATGTGGCTGAATATAGAATCATTCTCAGTTTATTTTTATTTTTTATTAGTGAGTATAATTAAGTAATCCTACTATCATAGTTTCTAAAAATGAAATATCTTTTATTTCTTACATTAAATTTAATTTTTTAATTTATTTCTCAAGTCGGCTGCTCTCATGTATGTTACAGCTATAAATACTCCCGATAGTTACTAAAAACAGGTATTGGGAAAAATAATTTATAAGTTTCGAAGCTCTGGAAAAACTCTCATAGAAGATGTAATAATATGAATTATCAATAATAATCATGAGTCTCAAATTTTATGGGGGAGTGCTATATCCATTTTCCCCAAAAAGAAAAATTTTAATGATAAACCTTTCATATTTTAAACAATATATGAAATAAAATAGTCATTGTAGGTGTTAGCACAAAAAACATACTATGCTTTTTTTAAGTCTGAATGAAAAGTATTCATGATGAGAAAACAAGAAAAATTTTACTGTGCAGCAGATTTCCGATTTTTTTTCAGGGTAGCCCATTAGTTACTAATAAAATATTTTCAGTGTTTTTATTTAACCATTTGTTATTAATTACAATGTGAAATAGTTAATTTTTTTTATAAATAAATACAATTATAGGGACTTAATAGGAAGAAATTTAAAAAGATCAGAATATTTCACTTGGCTGTTATTAAAGACCCCTTGATTTTATATTGATATATTAATTATCAATACAAAATTAGCTATTTTAGAAAAAATGGTAAAAATATTTAATATCAATTACTGAGTTGAAGTGGCTATATCCTACTTCCCAACAGCAATTCCTACTTGGTGTTTTTCTTTTTCAAGTTCTCAGAAGCAAAAACCCTCCCTACATCTTATAACTTTACGCTCCTCTATCCACTCTCTCAATACCAGGTCTCAACCTATAGATTTATGTATCCCCTCCCATAAAACCACTTCCTTCAGTAAATCCTTCGAACACCTTCAAACAACTCCTATTCCACCACCTACTACAAATTCAAACTTCTATAAGCTTGTAAACATTTCTGGGTTATATAATTACGTTGGCCACCAGCAGTTAATTGATATAAGTCATTTTATTTTTATTTACTAATTTTTTTATATCACAGTATTTTATTGTATATATCTGTGTTTATGGTTAGTATGTTTTGCAGATATTTATATTTTCCTTGTTACTTTTATTTATTTTTTTTACATATATTTGTGTTTTTCTTAGTATCTTTGTGTGAATATATATATGTGCTTACAATTTCCTAGGTATTTTTTTTATATATGTGTATATTACTTACATGCCAGACTGATGATGTAAATATACATATTTTGTAAACTCTACTATTACTCTAAAGAGACTTCAATCCCAGAATAAAATTATTTTTCATTTCATTTCAATGAAATAATGTGGCAGTTCCTGTTGACTTATTTTTATTAAAAACTTGTTTTAACATACCAGGCATATACCAACCTGAAATACCTCATTTGTTTCATTCTTTTTTGAGCTAGTCTGTTTACATGCACATTCACAGACCATTTGGTGAGACTTGATAATTTGGAATGAGGCACTGGCTGATCTACGGGGGGGGGGGGGGGGGGGGGGGAGAGTAGCTTTCAGGCTGAAGCCCCCCCAAAATGGTAAAATATAACCATATTTTGCAGAAAAAAATATTAAAAACTATCTCTTAAAGTATTCTTGTTAGTCCCCTGCCTAAGCCTTATGTAGGTTGGCCACTATTCAGCGGATGGCTCTGCTTCGAGTATCCAGATCATTCAGGATGGTGTCTCATGAGGCTGTGCAGGTCTTGGCAGGAGGAATACCTCTCGACCTCCTGCTGAGAGAAGACTACTACCGGTATAAGATTAGGAGAGAATGCTTAGCGGCTCTTCCGGATTACCTCCGAGTGAGAATAAGAGATGATCCAAGAAACTGGAAGAAGATTCTCCGGGAGGATACAGTAGAGGACTGGAACCGACGACTCCCAAAGGAGCTACTCTAAGGAAGTACTTCCCCACCATCAGTTCGCGACTAGAAGCGACTTGGGTCCTCCCGGACTACTGGATTTCACAGATTCTCACGGGGCATGGGGGTTTCCGAGCAAAGCTCGTTCAGTATGGTATAAATATCGATCCCCTATGCCCAAGTTGTGGGGTACCGGAGTCCGCTGAACATGTTGTACTTACCTGTACGGTCTATGAGTCACTGAGGGCGAAACTGTTGAGAGAAATAGGTCTCTTTGTCCTAACAGAGAGAGATCTTCCTCAACTTATGGACAAAGAAAGATACGATCACTTCAAAAGTTTTATATAAGGGTGGAAAGAAGTTGTTCTACCAACCCACTTCTCTTTGGGAAGAAGAAGAGAAGCTGCACCGGGGAGGCCACCAGAATAAGAAGAAAAGTAAACCAGATGCAAGTCAAGAGAAGATCAAGCTGTGTGCACAGCTCAGAAAAATAATGTAATAGTCAAAAATGCAGCAGTGGGTTGTTATGTAACAGTAACATCCCACTGCTGCAAATACCGGTATTGCCTTCAGGCAGGGGAGGGTTGAAAATAAAATAAAAAAAAGTATTCTTGTTAGTGTAATTACATTTAATAGGACATCAAGAACCACTTAAACACCATTTCATATAGGTAGTTCATTTCTTTCCTTTTTTTTCCAATTAATTATTGTTATACATATATGAAAAAAAATCTTTCAGGCTGAAGTCCCCTCCCCAAAATTAAATCCTGGATCCGCTAGTGGACTGAGGTGGTCTCAAAAGGTGTACTTTGGTTGCATACTTGGATTCGAAATTTTTCATGATCGGACTTACATGTGCTAAATAGGCGTCCACCAACCTGTTAAAACCAGCATTATGAGTTCGAATCTTGGTGGTGCCTGGTTGACTTCCAATTGTGATATTAATGCTCTGTCTCCTGGCTCGGGCAAAAACTCCTGTAGTAAAAGTATATGTGAGGACGGGAAGAAAAAATATATATATATATAATTAAGTAAAAGTAAAAAAAAAAAAACTTCATGCTTTGTGCATTTTAGTAAAAAGTAGCTAATGTCTAAAATTTTTAAATTATGAATTATCTTCACTAACAGGATAGAGGATCCATTAAATCTTTCAGAGGCTGAGGTCCCTCCCCTTTCCTCCTCCTCCCCGCCTCCATTATTTTTGTAAGTTCATTCCAATTTCAATATTTTGGAGTCTGTGTTGAACTAATTTCTAAGCTTTTATAACTTCATAGTGCTGGCGGATCCAGGATTTAGTTTCAGTCCGAAAGATTTTTTAAAAAAATATATAACGATAATTACTTATGAAGAAAACGGATGAAACTAACTACCTATATTAAATAGATTCAAGGAAGTTAGTGCTCGAAACACGTCTTGATGGCCCACATGTCTGGGTTGAAACGTCTACACCAATAAAAACTTTATGATGACTGCGTGCTGAATATTTATCACCCATTATATGAAATAGAATTTAAGCGATTCTTTAAGTACTATTAAATGTAATTTCATGAACCATAATACTGTTAGACGTAATTATTAAATTTTTTTTTCATAAGACATGGTAATATTTTATCATTTCGGGGGGCTTCAGCCGGAAAGTCCTTCTCCCCCCCCCTTCCCGTAGATCCGACTTTGCTTCTTAAGTTTAACATTATCGTGGATATTATTATGCTTGTTTCAGAATGTAAAAAGGAGGGTAATAGTTTACATCATGCCCGCAGCTTTTTGGGCTGGGGTGGGGGCGCTTATCCTCAATGATAGTTCCTGGTTAGGTTAGATTACCGGCCTAGCAGTTGTTGCCCCCACTACTCTTCTCCTTTCCCCTACTTTTTGAAATTCCCGCGACTACCCACCATCCTGCACTTCAAGTTAATTTTTGACAGTATCCAGTTCCTAGTTCCTCTACATACATATTTTTTTTGAAAATCCTACCATTCTCCCACCATCATCATTTTCCAGTCATTAATTTCATTTGCATTTAATCTTCAACTGTTAGTTGCTATTTCATTTCTGGTGTCAGAAATGATTTTGTTCATGCTTTTGTTCAGTTTCATTGTTAAAAGATATAAATGAAATAATAAATAGTTTAATAATGTTAAAATATATTGGAAATAAAAAAACAGCAATGTTTTACTTAAAACAACTACACAATTCTATTAATAAAGACTTTGAAATGGGAGAAATACCTAATAGCTTTTATTTATCCATCATATTCCCTGTTCATAAAGTAGAGGATAAGAATGACACAATGAATTACATGGGCATCAAGTTTGAAAACCCAATAGTTAAATTATTGGCTTACTCATTAATATCCAATAACTAGTTAAAGAATATAGGCAGCATTTAGGAAATATTATTCTATTAAAATCTTACTTATTATAATTATCTTAAATTTGCAGAAGAAAGACAATAAGGCACATGTTATATTTTGTTTGATATATTTTGCTATCTGCAATTATTATAGAACTAAACATATAGTTCACTACTAGGCATTATATTAAAAATTGTAACACAGGAGTATCAATCAAAATTGTTAAAATAATAATGAGCTTAAACCTTAAACAAGCAGTGAAGTCAATAAGGATTGACAGAACTCCTTGAAATATTATTTGGGACACAGTATGGGAATAATGTATATTATTGTAAACATTAAAATTGTATATCACATAATAAAATGTTATTATTATTAGGGAATAATTGAATAGGTTATTTTAAAAAATGACACATTTATACCACTTTTGAGTTGAGAGCTGTTCAGGGTGCATTATTCGCAGAAGCATCTTTTAGTAACAGAAAACACACTACATAACTAATGTAAAGATTGATTGTTTATCCATACATTTGTATCTTAAAAATAGCACATTTGTCATTTCACAAATAACCAATTTAATGTTAGTATATTTCTTTTCAGTGGGTACATTAATGATATAGAGGATTGTGTTGCAGGAGGAGTGAATGTCATATCATTAGGATAGTGTGTACTTAAACCTTCATTGCTTTTATGCCAGATAGACTTCAACTTATGATTATAGATTTATAAAACTATTGTGATTAATGGAATTTACATTTAATCAGGAAGAGTTTAAAATGATGATATTCAGAAAGGGAGAGAGGTGTAGTAGTCCGGGAGGACCCAAGTTGCTTCTAGTCGCGATGCGATGGTGGGAAAATATTTTCTCAGGGTTGCTCCTTTTGGAGTTGTCAACCACCCCCAGTTCCACTCTTCTACTATATCCTCCCAGACAATCCTTTTCAAAAATGAAACTAGTGAATAGAGAAATGAGATGTTTGAAATTACTGTAATTTTTCAGATACGGAAAACCTAACTAAGCCCGAATGAAAAATTGAGAGTTAAATTCCAAATGATATTGGTTATACCACTTCTTTACATATGGCAACTCAATTTTTCAAGTTTTAGTGACTATTTTACCTTAATTTTTCTTCATAAAAGGGATTTTTTTTTCCGGTCTTGATCTTGCAAAGTGCATGACCAAGACTGATTTTGGACAACACCAACTATTATAAATCCACTATTATAACTAATTTAAATAGTTCAAAATTTGATCCTCGATCAACAGATTCATTTCTGATCATTGATATAAAATATTTTTTATGAAATGGTTTACCTCTTACCATAATGTAGATATTGCATATTGCATCTAAAATAGAAAAAGTTGTTCATTTTACTTTTAAGCCTGGTGGTAGGAGAGTATTTGTTTCAGAGTGGTATAACTTAGTTTCTGTATAATTTGAAAATTTCTATTTACCAATATCAATACACCTGTTATCATTGAAATGGATTAATAATCATAATATGATAAATTGTAATAATGTTTGTCACACCTTAATTTTCCATTAGTCCAGAATATAAGCTTTCCCTAGTTTTATTTATTTTTCAATACTTTTTTGGGAAATTAGAGGTTGTTGGTTATAATATATTTTCAATTTTATCACACTAGATATACCAAGTAAAAATAACTAGTAGTGAAACATAAAACTGTAAGGATAAAATACAATCAATTATCAATTGATTGAAGAAATATCCAAATTAACTTGAAATAGAAAACATTTTTAATCAACAAAGGAATATAAAAAACAATAGATAAAACAGAGAATATTTATTTATTTACAAAGGAATTTCAATTTATAAATGCTGCACATATACATTTACAGATTTACTGCTAAAAATAGACATATGAGAGAAATTCTTTTTACCAATTGAATTTATCCTAAGTCTAAATACAATAAACCCCTTAAGAATACTATCTTTAATAATGTGACAATTAATTATGTGTTCTTCATCAACAGAACTCATTTTGGTAATAAAGGAAGAAGATGGTCCGGGGTTGCGGTCATAAATAGGCTAAATAGTGGTAAAACTATTTTATTGAAAGCCGACGTTTCGACCCGATTTTGCAGGTCTTCTTCAGCGCTACGGTTACTGACTAGTCCAACTACAGGAACTGAGTACTATAGAACTTTAGTTGGACTAGTCAGTAACCGTAGCCCTGAAGAAAACCTGCAAAGTCGGGTCGAAACGTCGGCTTTCAATAAAATAGTTTTACCACTATTTAGCCTATTTATGACCGCAACCCCGGACCATCTTCTTCCTTTATAATGCAACGGTCAACTATTAAATATTCATTTTGGTAATTATTTACAAGATGGCCGGAGCAGTACCACTTGTAAATAATTACCCTCATTTTTCTCTATGTAAAATCCTCTTAAATCACCTCTTACTGAGTTGATTTGGGCTCATATAGGTTTCCAAAATGACTTAATCCTTTAATTTGTTACTTTCTTTTATTTATTTTCCTTTGTAATTCAATAGTTATGAAGGAAAAAGATTAAAATTAAGTTTGAAACTTGGTTATAGAAGATATTTCTATAGGTTGAGACTATTAGCTAATACAATTTTAATTTGAAGTCAGTGATTTCAGGTACAATATTGAAATTCGGTTTTCCTTATTGGTTATTGTTACTTTCAATATTAAAAATATGAGTGTAGTTGATGATCCGTAAATGATAATCTTGACCTTAAATGATGAAAAAACATCTTGAATAAACATTAATAGTTTTAGGATTTCAACAAGAAAAATAATAATTTCATTTCAGAACTTTTGCAGTACAACAATCTATTTCTAAAAATCAGTCATGATGAGTACCATATCATTTATTCTGGCATAAAAGAAAACTACTTTTAGTTACTAGAGATCTCAATAAAGCTAAGGATCATCAACTATACTCATATTTTAATGATGAAAGTAATCATAACTATAAAGGAAAACCAAATTTCAATTTTATACCAGAAACTACTGACTTCAAGATAAAAATTGTGTTAGCTAGTAGCCTCGAACTATAGACACTAGCTTCTTATAACCAAGTTACAAACTTGATTTCCATCTTTTTCTTTCATTACCACTGAATTAAAAAGGAAAATTAATAAAATAAAGTAAAGAATTAAAGTATACTCACGATTTTGTCTATGAAGAAGAAACCAAAATTATCACTTTAAACACTCATATGTATAACTATTAAATAAAAAGTACCTATTAGTAAACTAAATATATTACTAAAACAACATAATTAAACTTTTCAAACAAAATATCACTAATAAAATAAGAGTCTGTGAAGATGAAACCTATCACTGAACATTAAATGAAAACTACCACTTTAAACACTAAAACGTATAACTATCCAATAAAAAACTACCTATTAATAAACTAAACATATCACTTAAACAACAAAATTAAGCTTCTAAACTAAAATACTGCCAATAAAATATGAAAAATTAACAGTTTTGAGGTGCCTATAGAGCAAAAAGTGGTGGGGGATTGAGATAGCCTAACATAACTGTAACCTAAATGTAAACAATCCTCTAGAATAAGCGTCCCCACTCCTCCCCAAAAGGCTGCGGGCATCATGTAAATTATTACCAAAAGGAGAAACAGTTAAGCGATGGGGAGGATTTTATATAAGCAGAAATAATAAACGGATATCATAAAGGAATAACCAGCTTCTCGATAATGCTTCAAGAAACCGATTAATAACAGGTAGAAAAAATAACTGATTCTACTGTTATCTCTAGGCGGGAAAGTCCCAGAGATAACGTGGTTGGAGTTGATTCTTTGAGTGGTTCAGTTGTGTTCACACTTATAATAATTTTAATATTAAAGTTTACGGATAATTTGTTATTCAATTAGACATGCCTAACCCAGAGATTACTTCAACAAATGTTAACTCTAATGGTCATTCTGATAAAAAAGAATCTTTAAATGCACCCTCAAATGAAGTATGTTATTTTCAATATATTACCATTATTTTAGATTTTGCTTTGATTTAATTTATTTGGTTTGATAAAATTGTCATTTTTATGTTTACATAATTTTAATAACGCATGATTCTTTTCAAGTTTCTAGGTTTTTGAATGTGCTAATATTCTTAATCATTTTTAACCTACTCCTTTTGATTTTTTATGGAAGTATAAGAAAGAATTAAAATAAGTCAGAAACTTCCTATTGTGCTTATTGTTGGCAAGAGTTTTCACTGATGAAATGTTTGGAAGATAGTTATTTTGTTGTATTATCAGTTTAGTTACTCAATTTATTATTTATTTCTACTTAATTATAGTAACAGATTAATATTACGTTTCGAAATAGATTTACACATCAACATTTATTTACTCCTTGTTTCATTATTTTTATCTTCAGCAAAAGTTATTTGCATTTCCTCTCATCACAATTTAATATCATTAGAATTATGTTTGTATGTTGATTTATGACGAAACATGTTTCCATTATACAAATTATGAATCTCATTGCGAAACTTCAACACATAACATTAAAAAAATTAAATTGTCATATTGATCCATTTATACATTCATATGGGGGGCTGAGATAACCAAATGGGATAGGGCACATGCAATAGGTAATCCAAGTTAACCAAGGTCGAGCATGATAATTACTTGGATGCATTGCTATCCACCAGGAAAAGCCAAGCTGCTCAAGATTTCCTCTCTTGGTATGTGAGGTCCATCAGCCGCTACCTGATGTACTTTAACCGGATATCACAATGTGGTTTTCCTGTGTGTCATTGGCCCTCCAGAGTCTGTTTCAGAGAAAGAAACATAGGTCCTCATGTCTGCTAACTTTGATCAGCCATAATCTATGAATCTAGACCGATTTGTTACTCTCCTCAAACCTGAGCGGGTCTGAGAAGGACACTGCCAGATTGGCCTTGAAGGGATCAGCTGTGTTCCTATGGATGGCTTGCCGCTGAATCATGGAGAGCACAGTTTGTAGCACCCTGTGGTTGGGTTATCCCCTCCTGGCCATCTGTGCTCCTAGAAGCAGTTTATCTCTGTAAGATAAGATTATGGCCAAAGATCTACATGGTCTGTAGTGCCAACTGAAAAAAAAAAAAAATACATTCGTATATGTTTAATAGTAAGTACTAGCAAGCGATTTACCCTTAAATAGAAAAAGTGAACTAATAATTGTTGTATGTAAAATCTTGGTAAAATAAAATAATAATTAGTGGTATACTTTTGTTTCTGTAACTTTAGTGGTTTTTGATGGTGTAGAAGTTGTTGACTGTTGATTTTTATTAGAGAATTCTTGTTAGAAATTGCAGTCATGGTAGTACACATAAAGAAAATGATTGATTACTTAATGGTTAACCGTTGTAAAATATTATTTAAACCAACGTTTCGCTCCAACTATGCATGTCTTCATAAGGCCTAGAATGAACAAGGTTAGCCTTTGTGTCTTGTTTGTTTTAGCCCTGATAAAGATCAGCATATTTGGGTTGAAACATTGGTTTAAATATAATAGTTTTCACTATTTTATGTTTTTATGGCTGCCACCTGGACCATCTCTTTCCAAAAAAAATAAATATAATTTATTTTTGCATACTTCCATGATTGCAGTCCCAAACCAATTATTCTTAGTTGTTTTTTAAGTATTAAAATGCATATAATTAGAAAAATACTTTATTATTTATTATATTATTTCAGCAAAATAATAAGAAGGAAAATGTTGATGAAATGCAATATATTGACCATTTAAAAAAAATATTATCATCAGGTGTGAAGAAAGATGATAGAACTGGTGTTGGCACATTATCGATTTTTGGTGCTCAAATGCGTTATTCTTTAAGAGATGGTATTCCCTAATTTTTATAGTAAATAATATATATGTAGATCTATTAAATATGATTAAAAAGTTGTGTTAAATCTTTTTCAACTCAATTTTTATGCTTTCTTGTATGTGTGCATATCAGATGTGCAAATTATATTTTCATTTAGTAAGTACTTGTAGGCCGTTTTAAGATTAATATTATTTAATCTTCTTAATTTTTAATCTAATTAATTAAGAGAGAGGGGAATTGAAGAATAAATTTTACTCAAGAAATATCAGTAAACAACTTAATCTGTCATTTTGCAAATTCAGTCATCATAAGAACAGAAAAAAACAAAACCATGTCAACTAGGACAGTATATCTACCTAAGAAAAAAATTTATATTAATAAAAAAATTATATTCCTTGAATCTTGTCAGTACACCTACATAATTTATAAATATGATATGGACAGCCAAATATTTATTTATTCTAATTGTTTCTCAATTAGATATATAATAATCTTCCATTTTCTAGTTTTTTACTTTTTTTTCTAAAATTATCTTTTCATTTTTTATTAGTGAACATTTTGGGGTGTCTGTTCCTCTCTTCAACTATGGTATGCCCCAAAATTGTGCAAATCCAAGATACTAATAAGTTTGGTATAATTTTTTAAAAAATAATCTGTTTCTATTTGTATCATATAGATCAGCTCTCACTTTTAGTGCTGTGCACACACGTTAGCCCGTTCGGATATCCCGCCCACAGATCAGCTCTCACTAATTTAGGATATCCAAAACAGTTACAATTTTTTTAGTGATACACACCACATAAATCATAAATTGTTCATGATACAATAACCAATCCCCACCTTTCCGAATAATGGAAGATACATAAATTATTTCATGTCATCAGCTGCATTTTTAATTTTTAGGTATTCTACCATTACTTACTACAAAGAAAGTTTATTGGCGTTCTGTTCTTAAAGAACTGATTTGGTTTATCAGTGGATCAACAAATGCTAAAGTTCTATCTGAGAACAATGTACACATTTGGGATAAGAACAGCTCTAGAGAATTCTTGGATAGCTTGAACTTCACTGATAGAGAAGAAGGTATATCAATATATTTCGTGATTTTATTCTTGGTGATATTTAAATGATACTTTTGCTTATATATTCTATTATTTTGTTTAGAACTGCGGTATAACAATCTATAGGAAGTGATAATGCGTTAGGGCACATAGGCACTATATTATGCATCTTATCAGCATAATGGACTGATTATGTGTATATTTTTAGTTGGAATAATAAATGTTGTATGGCGTTGACCAGGTTCTCAATGCTACGCATCTTGATTACATGTTGTTTACTCCTATCCTATTTTCTTCTTATTCCTTTCCAAAGCACCCTCCACTTAAATTATCCTGGCTATCTATACCTCCTCTGTTCAGTAGCTTTTCAAGAACTGGTTCTCTATTTCTAAGATTGAAGTCAGCCTGGCTCACTGCAGTTTTTCAGTTGCACACTTAAGAAGTAGTGCAGGTTGTTTTCCCCAGTTACCAAAAATATTTTAAAATAAATATTAAAAAAAGATTGTTTCAGGCTAACTATTGGTCAAAGTCTGCCATGATTTGGCCGGTATCACATCTTAATTAATCAAGAGTTTAAGACTTATAAGAGGCTGGGTGTGCCCAAGGAGGGTTGCCTGACCCTTGAGTCTATCCACAGCTGATATAACAGAATAAATAATTTTGTTTCATTGTTTTACTGGCTTAGCTCCCTTCTTAAGTAACTATATAAGAGAAATATTTCTCTATCAGTATCTGGAGTCAGGTTTTCCTAAGTAATTGGGCTTTAAGTGGTTTAAAGGTTGTGTAGTTCATAATGCTGCCGCTGGAACATAGAGTGTTGATATTTCCTGATTGGCTTTCCCATCACCAACCAAACCATCAACAGTCAGTGATAGTCCATGGTACAGACCCCTTTTTATTGAATTATTAACATCTGCCTGAAACTTTGTAAATAGGTTTATCTCATTGTAACCTACAACCATTTTATTTACGAAAACTCTTGGAATCAGGGCGTTTTCAATCTTGATGGGGGCAAACTTTGTCTATTTAATTAGGTACTATAAACTCGTAAATACTCATTTGCTTTCTACTTTGATCATAAGATAATTTGAAAATGAAAATATTTTTTTATTATCTTGGTACTGTTGTCCCTTTAGGACAAATTATAGATACAGAATAAATGCCTGTGTGGCCATACACAAAATTAATTATTTACAATTCTCATTAAAATAAAAATATTGGAAACAGAATAAAACAATAACACTAAAAATATACAGATATCTCTTATCAATCGGGTTGGGAAAGGAGTAGGTGCTTAAAAAAGAGATTCAAATGAGGAAACTGATTGTACATGTCGGATATTGGGAGTAATGGTATTCCAGAAGGAGAAGGCTTGAATTATAAAGGATTTGATCTCCAAATCAATAAAAATGGTGGCCTACAAAAATTTTGGGCCATTGGTCCTATATAACCTTGTTATTTTGAAAATTGGGGGTGTATGTCACGCTAAACTGCTCAATATTTTTTCTTTTTGTGATCTTTACTTTTTATTTTTACTTTATACTTTTTTCTCAATTTTGTGAACAAATTATCTTGCAATCCAAGTATAAAGTAAATGTGTATTTAAGAGTTTTTAGTACCTAATTAAATTGACAAAGTTTGCTGCCCCCTTTCCAGATTGAAAACACCCCAATTCCAAGAGTTTTGGTAAATAAAATAGTTGTAGGTTACGATGAGATGAAACTACTTACAAAGTTTCAGGCGGATGTTAATAATTCGATAAAACTGGGTCTGTACCACGGATTAAGACAGAAACTGCTAATTATATGACCAGCAACACATCAAAAATCGTGTGGCTATTAATTCTCATTATTTAAACAAGACTGATGCTGTAAAAACATTTCATTTTGATTTCATACAAATTTACTTATCATCTTAAATATATATTCCTCCTCTATTCCGATAACTCTCCATGCTAATCTTCTGCTGTCTGAAACAGTACTGAAAGTCTTCTTCTGTCAGCTCTTTGTGGACATGTGTCACTTTCGCTTTAAGTAAGAACATGAATGAATCAGGAATAATTTGAAGGCGCTCAATTCTATTCATATTACAGAAACAATTGTTATTGCTTTGAATTTTGATTTGATGATTTTAGTTTTTTTTTTGATCTCGGAAGTCGTGCTCTTCCTCATCCTTTCAGGATCATAAATAAAAAAACATGATTTGTCAATCTGCAGTAAAAGAAACTAGATTTGAGTCAATTGAAGCCATGAAAGATAAGACATGCGTTCTGAAGGAGCTTGCAAAACTTTCTGCATTGTTAAGGGAAAACAAAAGCCACCCACCTGGCTTGGTGAATTTTCTTAGCTCATCCGTTGGCACACTCATACACTATCTTGTGATTATTTTTCGAGAATCACTTATTTTCTTTTATAAGTTGTTATCCTGAACACTCTTCATTTTTATATTTATACTTTTTTAATTATACCTCTCTTTATCGGCTTCCAATATTAGAGACCTTGCAGTCCAATACCATTCCGATTTGGACGACGTATCTGCAAGCATACACTTAAATGTGCTGCATCCATATTCCATGTTCCTGAATCGTAACAATTGCAGTTTGGAGAGTCAGCCACTCTTATTCTATGCAGATGTTTCCTAAGTTAGTCGTGGCCTGTTATCATCCAGAACTCTACAACAGCTTCCTTTCTCAGCAGGTTTATGGGTATTTGTTCTGCTTCATTAAGCAATTTTCTCTATTGCTTCTCCACAATACTGCTCTTTACGGAATTCGATTGTAGAGCTTCATTTGCCTTATTTTTTTTTTTCTGGCTCTATAAACACTTTATTATCCAAACTTTTCATTTATCCAACATTCCTGCATTAATAAGTTTAGATTACAAAGATCACACTCTATTTCAAGAGGCCCTCTAATAATAATTATGCTTTCATTTCTATATAGTATCTCGCTAAAATTCATAAAAAAAAATCATAAAAAGTGTTAAAAAAATTCTTCAAATGTTATTTCAAAAATTAGAAATGTATTGGATTTCAAGACTATCCTGTGAGTATTCGGAGTGTTGATGTTTAAGAAATGAAGAGTGTTTTCAATTTACATAACTGGGTTATTTTATTTTTATTTTTTAGTCCATTATTTTACATTAATTTTTTAGGTGACCTGGGTCCAGTTTATGGCTTTCAATGGAGGCATTTCGGTGCCAAATATGAAAATATGCATTCCGATTACAAAGGTCAGGGTGTTGACCAGCTGCAAAACATCATTAAGATGTTAAAAGAGAACCCAGATGACAGGAGGATGATCCTGTCCGCTTGGAACCCTGTTGATCTTCCTCAAATGGCTTTGCCTCCATGCCATTGCCTCGCACAGTTTTATGTTGCCAATGGAGAATTGTCTTGCCAACTATACCAAAGATCAGCTGATATGGGATTGGGCGTTCCATTTAATATTGCTAGTTATGCATTTTTAACTCACATGATTGCGCACATCGTTGATTTAAAGGTTTGTTTTTATTAATTTTTTTCTATATTTATAAAATAAACTTGAAATTATCTGATAATGATAATTTGAAGTTATCAAATTATTAAATATTAGGTTATAATTGGGAAAATTCCAAACCACACAGCCTTATATTCCTATAATACAGACAAAGAAAAAAAAACCGTCAACGTTTTGCCAATCCAGACATCATCAGGACAGAAAAGAACAGCAAATCTACCGTTAAAAACCTTGGCGTTACCCTCGATCAAACCCTCTCCTGGAAACCATACTCCTCCCAAATTTCCTGCTGTACTATTTCCATCCTGAAACAGTTTAACCATCTATGTTATCTTCTATTCAAAATGGTTTCATCTCTTCTTTTCTCCCACTTTGACTATGGCTGAATGGTGGACTCTCTGGAGGACTCGAAGCTAAACTTAAACGTCTAATGAATTGCTCAATACGCTTTATCTTCGGGATACGCATATTACCCAGTTTTACACCGAGTTGAAGTGGCTTTGGCCATCCTGCCACCGTCAGTATTTCCTTGCTACCTTCCTATACCAGGCTATTAGAATTCTGAGACCTGCCTATATTCTACAGATCCTACAATTCAAATGTTCCTTTCAATCCCTTCCGACCTCTATCCTCCTTTTCACCAAACTGCTGTTTGCTAGCTGTCTCCCTCTGGGATTCTATCCCCTCTGATATTCGACACGCAAAGTCAGTATCCTCTTTCAAATCTCTCCTCTTCAAATACCTCCTCCATTCCCAATCCGGTTGATCATAAAATGCACTAAGTCATAAGAATCCTAAAGTACCCCCAGATACTTTGATTATTTTGTGATTTATTGATAATTTGTTTGTTTATTTTATATTTATGTATTTTTTTATATCTTTTTACTATCTGTATTTTTAATTTATTTCTAATCGTCCTGTAAATATTTAATTGTATTTTATGGACACACCAGAATATTTATTAATATATATTCTGTATTTGTAATTTGTTCTAAAGGGACACTTATTCCCAGAATAATAAAATTATTTTCATTCATTCATTCAAATCGAACATCACTCCAAGACATTTAATCTCATACTTGAAGGAAGGTAATGCAAAAGAACAACCGAAGGTCAGACCTTCCCTTTGTTTTTTCTATTGTTTCGGGACTGGAACTTTTTCTTACAACTTTTAAGATAAAAGTTTAATACAACTTTTATAAAAAATTTCTGTTGAAGTATTTAATTTTGCCAAAAAAGTGGATCTACAAAATAATTGTGCAGTTCATTGTTGATTGGGAAATCAGAAATTCATTCAAGACAATTATATTTGTAATGAAAGCCCTATTACTGTTTTTTTCTCAGTTAGTGTAACTTTTTTTTCAAGAATTTGAATAATAAAAGTTAAACTTTTATCATAAAATAAGAACCGTAATTTTAAGAAGTCCATTAAAGCCTTTGTTTTAAATATTTTTTTCCAATAAAGTTCCACAGAAACTGTTAAAATAGAACTTTTCAAAGAACTTCTACAACAGTTTTAATCCCCTGAGGAAAACTACAGGCTTTTACATTACCGTGATTTCTCATTTAAGTGTCATTCGCTGTCACTGTAAATAAAGTGCAAGGACAAACTTTCAATTATATTGGAGTTGACTTAAGAGGAGACAGTTTTTCACAGAATAAGACATACAAAGTTAGAAGCCCCTTCCCTTCTCCTAATATACCAGGGAGACCAAATAAATTATTAATTAATTAATATTAATTATTACTGTCCTGATGCCTAAATTGGTGAAGTGTTGACAGGTTTTTTTATTTTTCTACATTTTGGAAATATAAGGCTGTGTGGTTTGAAATTGATCCAATTATACTCTAACATTTATGTTCTGTCTCTAGGTTAATTTGTTACTTACTAATTTATATTAATTATTGAGTATGTGATGGTGAAGATTAAAACTTCTTTTTGTTGAGTTATCTGCTTCTAAATCACATTTATCAGAGTGGTTAACTTTGTAGGGTCATTCCTTTATCTTCACGACTTATTAATTCACATTTTATTTATAATATAAACCAGCAAAAGGTTTAAGTTTGGTAAACAAAAGGACAAATAGTATTGCCAAAACAAAACTACTTGGCAGAAAACGTCTCCAGTTTGTTGGCTTTAAACCATAGATGGGCATAATCATAATCAACGATAATTATGATTATGTGATTACGATTACTGTGATTTTAACTACATGATTATACAATTACAATCGTAATCAGGTAATCATACTACATTTTTTTCTATATATATACAGTGTTATTGGATCAAGTATGAAATTGGTGTGGTAATTGTTTCATTTTCATTTGTAATTATGTAATAATTGATTCTGATTTTGTCCATCTTGCTTTCAATTAACTGAGTTTTTTTATGAATTCAGTATGTGGGAGAGGGGGTTTATATTAATACTTGCATTTTATATTTTTCTAATCTTTCTAGATTTTGTTTCTTTTCTTCTATCTTGAATAAAAATTTTTGATTCATTTGGTCTATCAGTGTACTAGGAGAAGGGGCTTCTTGTAACTATTTAATTGGAAATTGAGAAAGTTCCTGGGGTTTTGTTATTTTGGAAAATGTATTAACTATGTATGAACTACCAAATAAATAAATAAATAACTTGGTATGTCCTATTCTGTGAAAAACAGTCTCCTCTTAAGTCAACTCCAATATATTTGAAAGTTTGTCCCACACTTTATTTACAGTGACAGCAAATGATACTTAAATAGGAAATTATGGTAATGTAAAAGCCTGTGGTTTCTTCAGGTGGTTGAAACTGTTGTAGAAGTTTTTTTTAATGTTTATAATTTATATATTTTTTTTTTTACAGCCTGGTGATTTCATCCATACTTTAGGTGATAGCCATATCTATTTGAATCATGTAAAATCTTTGGAGGTTCAAATAACTCGAGTTCCTAAACCCTTCCCTACAATCTCATTTAAAAGAAAGATCGAAAATATTGATGATTTCAAATTTGAAGACATAATAGTGTCAAACTACAATCCTGATGCAAAAATAGACATGGAAATGGCTGTTTGATTCCATCCAGAGTATGTTATTAATATTTATTAATTGTTTTTGTACTTATCATACATTTTTATTTTTTGTTAAAACTTTTTTTTTTTTTTTTTATTCAACAAAACAATACAGGACAAATTAATAAAGCTTTTATTGGATTGTCCTGAAAATAATGCAGGATTTTGAGTTTTCTTTAAAATACCCTCCTATATAACAAACTGTTTCTGTTTACCTGTTTATTCATTTGTATGAATGTCAACACTTATTGATCCTCTTCCAAACAATAATGTATGTTTATCTCTGTAGCATTTCAATGCTTAGAAATAATTCAGTCTTTAATAAGATGTCAATGCATGATTTTTGTATAATTTTGTTTTACAAGTTTAAACTTTGACTTCCTCTCTTGATGGCAATGTTCTGCAGGCTTTGATGGAAGAAAACCCCAGAACAACTGATCAAGAACTTGGAAGGAAATTAAACCTTAGCAAATCGACTGTCGATGACCATATCAAGGCGATTAAAAAGGTGAAAAAGCTTGAAAGTCGGGTTACACACACATTAAACGACCGCCAAAAAACCAGCATTATGAAGTTTGTGCTACACTTCTTTACCATAACAAAAACGACCCTTTTCTGTCTAAAATAGTTACTTTTGATGAAAAGTGGATACTTTACGATAACAATAGACGTTCTGAACAGTGGCTCCACAAAGGAGAAACAGCAGAACATTTTCTAAATCCCCCCAACTAACCAAAAAAAGGTGATGGTTACTGTTTGGTGGGCTTTATTTGGTTTGATAGACTACAGCTTCTTAAATCCTGAATAAACCGTCAATGCCAAATTAATACAATGCATCAGATGGCAATAATGAAGCCAAAACTAACATCTTTGGTCAGTCGGAAGGGCCCATTTTGTTGCATGACAACGCCCGGCCTTATGTCTCTCATGTGAAGTCACAAAAACTTTTGGGGCTTGGATATGAAACTCTGCCACATCCTACGGATTATCATCATCTTTTTAGACACCCGGTCCACTACTTGCATGACAAAAAATTTAATGGGCAAAAGGAATTAGAAAATGCATTTTTGGAGTTTATCAATACTAAAGATGGGAAATTCTATTCTGAGAGAACGGAAAAGTTGCCAACTCGGCAGAGATGTATTGATATTGATATGGAAACTACTACTACTTGTTCTTTTTAAACAAAAATCCTGCATTATTTTCCAGACAACCCAATGGAAGTAAATTTTTAACTTGACTTAATCTATTTATACTTTAAAGAATAAATGTAGCCTTTCTTTATAAGTTAGAAATAATTTGTTTTTAAAATTTATTTTCATTCAAGGATTTAATATGCTAAATACTGGAACCTTTTAATAATTATCATATTTTGAAATATTTAAAGTTGTCAAAGTTTTAAGAGTTCACAAAACTTTTTATGATATATTGTTTTTAGAGTAGATAATAAGCTTATGTTTTAACAATTATTAATTTTATCGAAATGTTTAAAACTAGCAAAAGTTGTTTCCATGTTTTAGGACAATTGTTCTCTTTACATGGTTGCCTATTATGATTCAGAGCAGAGGTCAGTCAATTTTAAGAAAAATTTAATTAATTAAGTTAATTTTTCATCTTTAGGTTTTAAATTGTACCCTTAAACCTCAAATACATTTTTTTTTTTTTAAATGCCAAATTTCTTTGACTTTCTCTAATCCTCAAGTTATATCTTTCATTATAATTATTTTCTCTTTAGAACATTAGATATTTCAGATTACTTAATACTTTGCAAACTTTCGGTGTCCAGCAGGAATTTTCTAATTAGGCTGAAGAAGGAAGACAAAGCCTGGACTTGGGCCAATTAGACAACTATACAATTACATACAACAATTAGACAATATACTAATTGTCTAATTGTTGGAAGAAGCATGGATGAACTTTTAGGCAGTGATCCTGAGTGCAGCAGAAGTAGTTTGTGGGAAGGTGACAGAGGAAAAAAGACTAAATGGTGGGCGCAGGTTTTGAGGAAAGGTGTGAGAAAGAAGAAACACCTTTGGAGAAGCTACCTGGGAGAGAAAAATCGGGAAAGCTATGAAAAGTATAAGGTGCAGAGGAAGAAAGTGAAGGAGAAACAGAAAGAATTTATGGAAGAACAAGCAAAAACTGTTCTACAAAGTTTTGAGAAATGTGAAGAAATGCCCTATAAAGTTTATAAAGGCTAAGGACCGGCAAATAATAAGTGAGCCGAAGCGAATATTGGAAAGATGGAGGAAATACTTTAGAGAGTTACTGGATGGGAATGATAGGAGCGAAGAACTGGAAAATTTCCAGGAGATAAATGAGGATAGTGTGGAGCTGCAGCAAGAAAAAGGCGACCTGGTAGAAAAAGAGGAAATGTGAGATGCATTGGATAGGATGAAGCTGGGAAAGGCAGCAGGTCATGTTGGAATAACACCCGAGATGCTTAGATATATGAGGGAGGCAGGAGACGAATTACTCTTCGGGGTATTAAAATTGGCCTAGAAAGATAAGAAGATTCCGAAAGATTGGAAATCTCAATCATTGTCCCAATCTTCAAGAAAGGTGATACTCGAGAATGTGCCAATCATAGAGACATTGCTTTGCTGAGTGTCCCAGGTATAATATACTCACGTATTTTGGAAAGAAAATTGAGGAACGAGGTAGAACACCATCTGGACGAGGAGCAGAGTGGCTTACGACCAGGCATGAGTACTCAAGATCACATCTTTGCGCTACGCCAAATATGTGAGAAATTCATCGAGTATGATAAAGAGTTTACCTGTGCTTTAGACTTGGAGAAGACGTTCAACAGGATACCTTGAAATGAATTATGGACTTCACTCAGGAATAAACAAGTGTCTGAGGCTCTTATACAGAGAATTAAATCATTCTATTAGATCTGCAGAAACTATGTTAGAACGTCCCATCAAACATCTGCTGAATTTGTCACTACAATGGGAGTCAGGCAGGGAGACATAGGAAGCCCTCTATATTTTATCACCCTCATGGATGATGTTATTAGGGAATGTAAGAGGAAAACAAGGAAGACACCACTTGGATATTGGAAATTGCAACCTGTCAATTGTTCATCGTTTGCATTTGCTGATGACATTACGCTAATAGCTGACACTAAAGAAAAGTTTCAGGCAAATTTAAATGTCTGGACTGAAGAGTTAGCAAAAAGAAATATGGTCATTAGCACTTCCAAGACAAGGTGTATGCTGGTGTCCAGAAACAAGAAGGATTTTGGGATTCACATTCATTAGGAGATGATACAGCTGGTTCCTGATTCCTACATTCAAGTATTTGGGTGTGATGAACAGTGAGAGCGGGAAGATCAGAGATGAAATTAATAAGAGAGTTGCCACTTCAGGAAGGATGTTCTCTGTCATCAATAGGAAGTTTTTAAGTAAGAGAGAAGTGGAAAAAGAAACAAAACTAGCCGTCTATCGCTTGATGTTCGTTCCTATACTCCCCTGGGCCTGAAGCAACATGATCGCAGTCGCCTCCAAAGCATGGAAATGAGATATCTTAGAAAAATTGAGAGAAAGACCAAGAGAGGCCGAATATGTAACACAACTATACGGACTACACTAAAAATTGAACCTCTCAACCAGATAATAGAGAAAGGGCAACTTGATGGTTCGTTCATGTAATGAGGATGGATGACTGCGTTTAGCAAAGAAAATTGTGAAGGCTAAACCAACGGAAAAACGGCCTAGAGGAAACCAAGAATTACGTGAAAAGATAATTTGAAGAATATTCTTAAAGACAGAGGAATTGGATGACCGGAAGCCAGAAGAGCAGTCCTCAACAGAAACTGATAGAAATCCTTGTACAAAAATCTCTGCACCGAAAGGTAAAAGAGAATATTGAATAAGAAGAAGAAGAAAAAAGAAGACTATGTTTATTTTTATAAAACTTGAATTGCCTATTGTTATGCTTTTGTCATGTTTAATTAATATTTATGATTCAAAGGGCATTGTAATTTAACTTTCAATAAACTATTTATTAATTGAATTATCAAGTGCTATGTATGAATTGTACAAATAAATAGATCCTTATTAATTATTCTTGAAATATATGATTTTGGAGGTGAAAGGCACTAGCTGCTAAGTTTACTCTATGGTTTTGAATGCTGACAAATTTGGTAATTTTTGTTAATTTAATATGCAGATGTAAAAAGTCTATTTTTATTATTTTGAGTGAAAAATAATGTTTCTTCAAAAAGTAAGTAGCAGTTCAGCTATTGTGTCCTCAAATTTGAGCAAAAATAATAGTCTAAAAATAAAGTAAAGTTATATTTGATTAATTATTTGGGTTGATAAACTCACCTAAACTTTAAAAGAGACCATATATTTAAATGCTGTACTGCTTTAGTTTAAAGTATTTGGTGTCACTTAACACTTGTTTGCCACGAGGAAGGGATTGAAACTACTTAATACCTTCTTCAGATGGTAATTTTTCGTATAGGCATGTAGGATACATTACAAACATTATCACCACCACCCTAGGCCCTCCACCTCATAATATAGTTTGGTCCCTCCCTCCCTAATAATTTTCATAAGTTGGCACCTATTACATTAAGTAAATACATTATAATCTCTATAATCACTAAAGAGGGTTTTTGCCAAATTGTAACCCATAAAAAAAAATTGGATGTACACAACACATAACTTTTACTTACCACTCTACTTTGAATAGAAATTATTTTCTAGCAATATTAGGCTATTGTAAAAATTTTGCATTTAAACGGAACTAAAGCTTAAAGCTTATAAATAACAAATTATTAAGACCATTAAAATTACAAAAATCTATTTATTATATCAACGGTAGACAATAAAAACCTAATTACTCCATCTGCTTTTATAAACCACATAACTTCACTCTCTGAGCCTTTCAGTTAACAGAATGACTAACTCCAATTCCAACATTTTTGAGTAATCTCATTTTAGTGATATTTCTTGTGGGAAAGGTTATATCTATACAGACAGCAAGTAAGTTGATTCCAGAGTAGGTGATTGCAGTGTTGAAATATAGAACTATGAATAATGGTATAAATTTTGCCACTAGAAACATCACTAAAATTAATAATAAAGAATGTTGAAATTGGAGTTAGTCATTCTGTCAACTGAAAGGCTAATATATGTCTAGAGGGATTTGAAAGTACATCTCAATATTTGATCTATAAATGATTATAGATTGTAGCTAGCATTATTAGTTATTAAACTGTTTTCCACTGTAAAGTTTACTAAAATGAAATTACAAGATTTTCATTGCCTGGTGTAGACATGTCAAAAGTTGTCATGCTAATTGTAAGTGGAAAATGTTGGGATTTCATAAAGGAAAAATTCATCAAATTATTCACTAATTTAATTTTCTAAAAGTTACTTGATGATTTTTTTAGATACCTAATTATTTAAATATAATATCATATCTAGAGTTATTAAACTTTGGTAAATGTATTTAAGGTTGTGAACATATTCATGAAATATTTTCATATTTTACTTCTTTATATTTCAACGATATATTAATATGTATACCTTCTGATTGTTATTTCCGGAGATTCATTTTCAACGTGGATAAGCCTTTTTATTTTTTTCTCCAGTTTCCAATTATCATATTCTTTCAAACTTCATATTTAGCCATATTTTATAGTTACTGTCAATAAAAGAGAGTTAATTTTTTTAAATAAACCGTATTAAAGGTACTTTAGAGGAAGACGTATACCAACATTGCGCATTTAAGCCCTATAAAGTTACATCAATGGAGCTAAGACCTAAATGATATTAAAGACCTCTTAATTATACAATAATACACCGAGTTTAATCAAAAACGGCTCGAACGATTTTAAATTGTAAAATTGTGTTTCACCGTTGATATAAAGTGGCACTTCCGGTTAGCCGATTTTAAGTGAAAAGTTGCTGTAACATCGGAACCATATACCTATCCTAAATACGTAATATCAGTTTCGTACAACTTTTTGTTTTTGAGCTCTACTGTTCACAGACACACAGACCTTTTTTTGGTGGGATTTGGTTGTTTGGACTCAGAGGACCTCAAAACATGTATTGCCGTTGAAAACTCAGATTCAAAAATTTTCACGATCGCAATATTTTCCCTAGGTAAGTGAAGAGCACTAAAGTCAGTTATGATGTGAGATTATTAATGTGACGTATCAATTATATTTTAACAACTCAAAATTATCCAACTACTTAATTATATTTATTTATTTTCCTGCCTCCAATGCCACAAAGGCATGAATACTTGGTAACACGCTATTTCAAGTAAAACCATGTACATTAAATAGAGTTGTGCTCACATCTAGCATTTCTTAATCCTCAAGTCTTCAGTAAGGTTGAAATGTTAAAAGTTACTTCCATAATTTGTTCTCTTCTGCTGGACTTACCACTGTCTTCCAAGCATAATTAAATTCCTTAAACTGTGGGAAGTTCTCAATGACCAACCTAGGAATCTTCTGAGTGAAATTCTTATTGTCTTTAATCTATCTAACAGAGTACAGGCTTGACCACCTGCTCAACAGTCTCTGGAACATCTGAAGTGGCGTATTGGGGTCTATTTCTTGGCCAAGTCTATGTAGCTTAGCTCGGAAATCCTCAGTAAGGAATCATGAAACCCAATAGTCCAGGAAGGTCCATTATATGTTTGGCTAAGACTGGGTGGTGGAGAAGTATTTTTTCAAGATGCTCCCTTTCGGAGTCGTCACCTACTGTCTGATAAATAATAATATTTATTTTTATATTTGCCGATATATTTTCGGCAATTATAATTATTTATTTTTACTATTTTTTATTTTGACTGATCACCCCAACCATCCTTCTCTTTTCCATTTATTAGGGTTTTCAACAATCCTCAGCTACAGATTCTCCAAAATACCTGTTGAGCTTTACCTCGTGTATATGTGCAAGGTCACTCCTAGCAGGTCAAGAGATAGACTGAATCTAACATAAGTTTGAGAGGGAGAGAGATGCTCAGTGGCAAAACATTTTCTCGCCCATTTCCCATTTCACATTTCCCACTTGTCTTCTCTACTCATTCATATGTACTTCTAAATTTTTATTTACTAGTAGAAATTTCTTTTATAATTTTTTTTTTCTATTTTATCAATTTTTGTTTATTATGTAAAGTAAACTGGGTAGAGGAAAAACTCAGACAAAAAATGTAATTTTGAACGTATATAAATTCATTAAAACAGAGGCTGTTTTTTTTTCTTAATTTGATTCTTTAACCATCCTCACTATTGATTTATTTTACTTTTTAATTAAAATCCCTACCTTTAATAAACATTTAAGTGAAATTTGAAGAAAATGGAATAATGCTTTCCCGGTATAAGGTGGTTACTATGGTGAAGACATGAAGACCAAGAAGAGTGGTCTTGGGGAGGTGGAACTTGAGTGGGGGGAAAGCTGCCCGAGCTCCCTTCCCCTACATCCAAACTAAACTCAGATGCACTTTACAGAACACTGTATTGACACTTACGGATTGCATAATGAAATGAAATGAACAAATATTTTATTATTCTGCGACTGTTGTCCCTTTAGAACAATTTATAAGTACAGATTGTATGCTTGTGTGGTCACAATTAGATTATATATTTACAATAAGAGTTGACTAAAAGTAAAAATACTGAATGAGAGAAAGAAAAGAACAAGAAAATTGTACATATATATAAAAGAGACTAAAATAACCTAAATACATTGAGGTAGTCTCTGGGGGTGCTTAGATATTTCTCTTAGGTATATTTTGTAATCAGTCGGATTGAGAAAGGAGTAGGAGTAGGTGTTTACAGAGGAGAGGTTTGCAAAAGGAAACTGATTAAGCGTGTCAAATATCAGCTGGGATAGAAATCCATAGGGAGGCGGCTTGAATTGCAAAGGATTTGTCAAACGCAGCAGTTTGGTGTAGAGGGGGATAGAGGTCGGAAGAACAAGATCTAGTGGGACAGGATTGGATGGAGTATTTGAATTGTAAGCTGTGAAAAATATAGGAGGGTCGATGAGTTCTAATGATCTGGTACAGAAAGGTGGCTAGGAAGTACTGACGGCCATAGGACGGGTAGAGCCACCTCAACTCGGTGATTCTAAATTAAATAAGATTTTTTTCTGCCCAATAAAGCTAGAAAATCATACTTATCAGACCAATCGTGGCAAGATTGTCCTAAGGACACTACAATTGTTTGGGGATCAGAAGCCTTCTATGTTTTAATATTGCCTATAAATGTTACTTGACATCTGAAAAAGACAGAAAACCAGGCAGTTACTATAAATTATATTTTCATATCTATATAAGAATGAATATGCCCTAAACTTAAAATTCTTATAGACAGCCGCAGTTTAGTACGATAATAACTGTACTATAAATATCGTCTTTCATTTACCAATTATCAAAGGACACAATACGTACTTTCTGTGAAAAGTATTTCAACAAAATTCTATACTCAATAGCCATAGAATATTGAAGGAGATATCACTGTAAAATGATTTCCATTATGACTCAAGATTTCATTTTCCAGTTGTCCCAAAAATTCAGATATTCAGAGAGAAGTTTGTTCGGGTGTGTAAACTTAAATAAATGTTAAGTTATTTTAAAAGTGTACTGACATTGTGATCTGTGTTGTAGGGGTAAGAAGTACAAGATATAAAAGAAATAAAATAAACAAATAAAAGGGAGTTTAAGAAAATGTTTACAGATAAAGAATTTGTGTGTGGAATGAGTGCTAATGAAATGAACAAACATAATATTTAATATTCTAATAATATTAAATGTAATATGGCCTTGCTTCTAGATTTTTTTTTTAATTTTCAGATCATATTTAGTTCAATAATTTTCGCAGTTTGCACAATCTTATTTCCCCTTTTCCAAACATAAACTTCTGATACAAATACTTTTTGCTGACTCACTGTGAAGCATGAATCGCAGTTTATTTTTTTATATAATGGTTTCTTTAAAAAAATATATATTTACATATATCTGTCTGCACAAAAAGATAATTTTTGTTTTTGTTTATGAATATAAAAATTCAGTTTACTTAAATAGGTTGAATGAAAAATGATGACTCATTTATTTATTTA